CTGAAGAATTGATGCTTTTGAACTGTAGCGTTGGAGAAGACTCTTGAGAGTCCCTTGGACTGCAAGGAGATCCAACCTGTCCATCCTAAAGGAGATCAGTCCTGGGTGTTCACTGCAAGGACCAATGCTGAAGCTGAAACTCCAATACTTTGGCCACCTGATTCGAAGAGCTGACTCATTTGACCTGACCTCAAAGACCCTGATGATGGGAAAGATTAAAGGCTGGGGGAGAAGGGGACGACAGAGCATAAGATGGTTGGATGGCATCACCGACTCAAGGGACATGAGTTTGGGTAAACTCTGAGATTTGATGATGGACAGGGAGGCCTGGCATGCTGCAGTCCATGGGGTCGCAAAGAGTCAGACATAACTGAGCAACTGAACTGACTGAACTGATCTTAGCTACATAATATGAATTTAAATTAGATACAAACTTTCATACTCTATTCAAAGTAGAGATTTATTTGAGCCAGGTTTCATTTGTTTTTATTCCATCATTATGCAAGGAATCTAAAGTTTAATGTGCAGAAATCAGATTTCAATTTACACTGTGTAAGATAACTGATGATAATTGCACACTTTTTTTAGGGGATAGCACCATGTTTGAAGTCTGCCTGTCTTTTAAGATTCCTTTTTAGAAGTGATGTTGGCTGGGACTGTTTCATGCAGAGAGCTGCTCTTCAGAAGCGGTGAAAGGACACACTAATTCCTTTCTTGTTGAGGTTTCTCTTATTGTCAGTTAGGAGGGGTTAGAATTTCAGGGCTAACTGCTGGAATTCTATTAGCAGTATTCCATTAAAGAAACAGAATTCCATTAGAGGAAAAAAGAGAACTAAACTGAAAAAGAAAAGTGGTACAATGGTGTTATTAAACAACATGGAACATGTACTATTTTACATCTGTATTGACTAACTTCTGTTCATTCTCTGAAGTTTAAGCTTAAACACTTCTTCCTCTGGAAGGCTTTTTGATTTACCGGAGCACTCCATTTCCAGGGATCCCACTGCTTTTTGTTCTTAACTATGTTAATTGTCCCTGTTGATTAGTTGTTTTCAAACTTTAGTATGCACTGGAATCTTCGAGAGGGCTTGTTAAAAGTGAGATTGGTGAGCTGCACCCTCAGAGTTTCTGATTCAGTATTTGAGGCTGGGCCTGAAAATTTGCACTTAAACAAGTTATGTTATTGCTGTATTGAAACTACACTTTGAGAACCACTGAGTTACAGTGTTGTTAGCAATACATGTTTCTGAAAACCAAGAGAAGGCATGATTTTATGTTTTATAAATAAAACAGTATCTAATGTTGGTACATTCTCAAATGTATACCAAATATTTAAAGAAAGAAATGAATGAAGTCACCATTACAAGATCTTATATTATCTGTAAATCTCTATTTTCATTTAGAGCCTTTCATTCACTCTTGGAATGAATTTGCCTTCTAATGTGTTGATGTCCCTCCCTGATGTTTTTGATTGTCAAAATCTTATCTACCTTTCAACTCTCATCATAAAAGCTTTTCAGAAAATCTTATTTTACCTTTTGTTTTATAGACTTTATTTGTAATTAAAGTGTAATTAGATACTTTATGTATTCAAAATCTGTTGCATTTAAAATTATGATCATGCAAATCATCTTTAGTTCTAAAAACAAACTTTATACCATAGAAATTAGGAGAAGGAAAGGACTCCATATTTAATTTTCATATTTACAGACACTTTTGTTTTTCCTTCACAACTGTTTGTTCTCAAACAAGGCTATAGATATTACAAAATTCAAATGTTTCAAAAGGGTATAAAATGTAAAATAAGACTTCCCTTGCCCCTGTTCTTCCCTCCCCTAGTACTTCCTCCCTAGAGGCAACTGTGTTACCAGTTTCTTGCCTATGGTAATCCAGGCAAGGTTTACTAGAGGCACATGTTTAATTTTTGAATGGATTTGTTAGTGGTAGAAGTATGCATTCAAACTCAATGATAAGATAAAACTAGCAATTCGATTAAAAATTGGGCAAACAACTTGAATAGAGGATTCCACAATCGTGAATGGCAAAGAAGCACAGGGACACTCAACATCATTAGTCACTAGGGTAATAAATATTAAAGTTACAATGAGATATGCCACATAACTATTAAAATGGCAAAAATTAAAAAGACTATACCAAGTGTGGATGAGAAAGAAGTGGAACTGGAACTCTCATACACTGCTGTTGTGAATATAAATAGTACAACTACTTAAGAAAATAGGCAGTTTCTTAAAAATTTAGGCATACACCTACCATATGACCCAACTATTCCACTCCTAGGTATTTCCTTGAGAATGGGAAACCCATGTCTACATTAAGAATGCTCTTAGTGTGTTATTTGGAACAGTCAAGAACTGGAAACAATTGAAATGCTCATCCATAGATGTGTAGGTTAACAAACAGTGCTATGTCCATAAAATAGACTACTACTCAGCAATAAAAAGGAATGAACTATTAATACATGCATCAACATGGATGAACCTCAAGATCATTATGTTGGACTTCCCTGGTGGCACGGTGGATGAGAATCCAGTTGCCAATTCAGGGGCCACTGGTTCAATTCCTGGTCCAGGGAGATTCCACGTGCTCTGGAGCAGCTAAGCCTGCGCACCACAACTACTGATCCCATGCTCTAGGGCTTTCCAGTCACAACGACTGAGCCCAGATGCTACAACTACTGAAGCTCGTGTGCTTAGAGTCTGTGCTCTGAAACAAGAGAAGCGTCTACAAAGAGAAGCCTGTGCACTGCAAAAAAGAATAGCCTCTGCTTACCACAACTAGAGGAAGCCCAAGCACAGAAGCAAAGACCCAGCTCAGCCAATAAGATAAATAAATAATAAAAATCATTATGTTGAGTGAAAAACAAGAAAGAAAAGGGTACATACTATATTATTTCATATTTGTAAAATCCTATTAAAACTATATTAATCTACAGATTAATATACTTTAGATTAATAGATTAGACTGTAGATTAACATACATTAATATACATTATATATTAATCTGTAGGTTAATGTACTTTTAATAGGATTTTACAAAAATGAAATAATATAGTATATACCTTTTTCTTTAGTGACAGAGGGGCTTTCCAGGTTGCTCAGTGGTAAACAATCTACCTGCCAGTGCAGGAGATGCTGAGACACAGGTTTGATCTCTGGGTCAGGAAGATCCCCTGGAGAAGGAAATGGCAACCCACTCCAGTATTCTTGCCTGGGAAATCCCACCGACAGAGGAGCCTGGTGGACTGCAGTCCATGGGGTCGCAAAGAATCGGACACGACTGAAGTGGCTTAGCATGCACAGTAACAAAAAGATCAGTGCGAATGGATGGGTAGAAGAGGGATACGAATGGATCGCAAAGGAGTAGTAGGAAACTTTTAGGGACACTGGATATGCTTACTATTATGACTTTGGTAATGGCTTCACAGATGTGTGCCTATGAAAAAAAGATCTGATTTCACACAAAATATGTGCAGCTCCTTATAGACTAATTTATATTTCCATGAATCTGTTTAAAACGTTAAAATCAAGCCTTGTCTCCCGAACTAAATTTTTTTTTTTTTTTTTTTTTTTTTTTTTGNTTTTTTTTAGGGTTGAAAGAAATCCCAAGTCTCCCTCTTCCTTCCCAACGCTAACAACAAAACCTCCACCAACACCGTCTATCAGGCCACTGAGACATCATCAACCCAGTCTCGCTGGTGTTTTTCCCCCGGTTTCCCACCAGGGGGCAGAAGCGGGAGAGGCCGCAGCTCCTGCTTCTCTAGCTCGGAGCCGACACTTCGCATGCACTTCCGGCCTTGTTGTGTTCCGCTTCCCGAAGAATGTACAAGCTGGGGTACGCGTTCCCAGTGAGACTGTAACCGTGAGAATATTCAGCCCGCCGAATTTTTGCATCTCGGAATCAGGCAGCTGCAGTCGCCTCTTAGGGGAGGTCCATCGGATTCACCGCTGCTCGGAGCGGTCCTTTCTTTTCCACTGGAGCGGAGAGAGCGCTGCCATGACGGCCCCTGCTCAGCCCAAGAAAATCGTGGCCCCTACGGTGTCCCAGATCAACGCGGAGTTCGTGACCCAGGTGGGCTGGGGCGAGTCTGGTGTGTGTGAAGGGATGAGGACTCAGGCTCTGAGGCCAGGGGGTGGAGTTTTCCTCGGAAAGGGAGCTCCCCGGAGGCATTTGTTCATCAATTCATTAACTCAGGCTTTTTACTGAAGTGTATGTGCTGGGTGCCAGCCACCGTACTAGCTCTTGGGGAAACCGTGGTTAAAGAGGCTCTGCCTTGAGGGGTTCACATTCCAGGGGATGCAGAAACATGGAAAGAACGCTTTCATGCTAGAGTTTGTCGCTGGAGCGATGAATTCGCAGAAGGAATACCCCAGTCTACCTGAGACTGGCAAGATTTCGTAGCAGACGTGATGCTGAAATGAATGTTGAAGGAGGGATAGGCTTATTCTTCTCCTTAGAGTAACCTCGATCTTTGAGCGGAGTGAGGAGAATCAGACAAGAGACTTGCTCCAAATAAATGGTCTAGGAAGAGCAGTCTCCGACGCCAATGCGTGAGTATTCCTCTAGAACCCGTTACTGTGTTTTATTGTGAACCGCGGTTGGCTTTGAACAGGGAAATACAACCCCGGTAGCTCTTAGCAACATTCCTAATCCTTATTTGTTGTTTGGGGTATTGACTAACAGTGCAAGTAGCTCAAAGTAGAACTTACTACTCACCAACTTCTTTCTTCTCTGTGCCCTGTCTCAGCAGGTTTGCCAAGGCAGAAGCATAGGAGTCACTTTGAGTCCTTCTTTTTCTAGCCTGCACTTTGCTACATTCTAAGTGTCTCTTAAATCTGTCTGCTCTCTGTGCCCTAAGCCAGGTTTCCATGGTTTTCTTCCTGGACCTAGGTATCCTAACCTGTGTTCCTGTCTTTCCACTTGCTCTCCTCAAGCTCATTTTTCATATTGCTGTCAGAGTTATTTTACCCAAATACAGATCTGATCACCTCACTTATCTTCTTACAATTTCTAATGAATTCTAATTGCCCTTAGGATAACGACTGGGTCATCCCGTGTTTTATAATCTAGCCTGTGCTTATATCCAGTTTTGTCTGTTACTTCCCCTTTTCTAATTGTGTTTTAGCCATACTGAACTGCACTTATTTGTGCTGTGTTATCTTTCACCCCCTGGCCTTTCAACATTGTTCCCTCTACTTAGAATCCTAATCCTCTCCGCCCCCCTACCCCCACCCCCTGCCCTTTTCTTATATGGTTAATTCGTTGTCATCAATCTACACTAATTTGGAGAGGTTTTTGCAGACAACTTAGACTAGATTGTTATGGTTGTTCAGTTGCTAAGTTCTGTCCAACTCTTTGCAACCCCATGAACTGCAGCACACCAGGCTTCCCTGTCCTTCACTACCTCCCTTTGGTTGAATTCATGTCCAGTGAGTCGCTGATGCCATGCAACCATCTCATCCTCTTTTTTACCCCTTCTCCACCTGCCTTCAGTCTTTGGATCTTTGGAAGACTCTAATGAGTCTTCCAATGAGTTGGCTCTTCGCATCAGATGCCCAAAATATTGGAGCTTCAGCTTTAGCATCAGTCCTTCCAATGAATATTCAAGATTGATTTCCTTTAGGATGGACTGGTTGGATCTCCTTGCTGTCCAGGGGACCTCAAGAGTGTTCTCCAACACCACAGTTCAAAAGCATCAGTTCTTAGGTGCTCAGTCTTCTTTATGGTCCCGACTCTCACATCCATACATGATTGCTGGAAAAACCATAGCTTTGACTGTATGGACCTTTGTCAGCAAGGTGATGTCTCTGCTTTTTAATATGCTGTTCAGGTTTGTCATAGCTCCAGACTAGATTAGAACCCTCTTTTCACATATACTTGAAATTTTTGGTAGAAGTTATTAGTTTCCTCCCCTCAGGGAGCTTACAGTTTAGAGATGAGTCAGTAAATGAACAGGGTAGTTTCAGACAGTGATTATTGCTATCAGGAAAATGAAACGGCATTGTGACAGAGCAGATGGAGTGTATGAAAGCAGTCAGGAAGGTCCTCTCTGAGGTGATTTTGACCTAAGACCTGAATGCCAGAAAAGGAGCCAGTTGGGGAAGAGCAGGGAAACAGTCTGGGGAGAAGCAAGTGCAGATGCCTTATGGCATGTAGGTAAAGAAGCCAGGAGAGCGAACTTGTGAAAGGAAGGATGGTAGAAATGGAGACAGAGAGCATGTAGGGACAGTACCATTTCCCTGCCCTAACTCCATGATTTCTGAGCGCCTGGTGCACCTAACCAGAGAAGGTGCTTTCTAATGATTATTGAGTGAATGAGGTGTAGACGTTAAATCTTAGTTATAAAGAAGATCAGAGATCTGAATTCTGTGATCTCACTTTTTTAATGAAAAGCATTTTTTAGCAATAAAGTATTCTTAAAGTATGTACATTGTTTCTTTTGAGACATAATGCTATCCACGTACTAGACTACTGTTATTGTTATGTCCGACTCTTTTGTGACCCAGTGGACTGAGCCCGCCACGTTCCTCTGTCCATGGGATTTCCCAGGCAAGAATACTGGAGTGGGTTGCCATTTCCTTCTTCAGGGGATCTTCCTGACTAAAGGATTGAAACCTCGTCTCCTGCATTGGAACCTTTGGCCACCTGATTCGAAGAACTGACTTATTAGAAAAGACCCTGATGCTGGGAAAGATTGAGGGCAGGAGAAGGGGACGACAGAGGATGAGATGGTTGGATGGCATACTGACTTGATGGACATGAGTTTGAGCAAGCTCCAGGAGTTGGTGATGGACACGGAGGCCTGATGTGCTGCAGTCCATGTGTTCGCAAAGAGTTGGACGTGACTAAGCGACTAAACTGACTGACTCCTGCATTGGCAGGTGGATTCTTTACCACTGAGCCACCAGGGAAGCCCTCTGAGTGTGTGCTAATCACTTAAAGATTTATTGTTTTGCAGATCAACATTCCTGAGGACTTTGGATCTGGTGTTTAGTACTAGCTCACTTGTTAACATTTTATTGTGGGCAGCTCATTTATTTTTTCTAAACCTGGGTTTCCTTAGCTCTATGCTGAAGATGTTTGACTGTGGTTATTAACTTTCCCCTAGGGGTGATAAAAAGGTATGTTTTGTTTTGTTTTTAAAATCACAGTAGCAGGGTGCCATGCAGGGTATCACTGACATTCAGTAGATTGTGGCCGAAGATGCTCACTGGTCTGCAAGCCCATGTAGTCCCCTTAGTAATTAAGTGACTCTTACCCAGCGTGGCACTGTGTCAGGAGTGCTTGTTACTGAATGATCTTGGTCCTTTAGCTCTACAGTGGTATGAATGTATGACTTACTATGTATACTGTTTACTTTTGCAGTTAGCATGTAAATATTGGGCACCCCATATCAAGAAAAAGTCACCCTTTGATATAAAGGTAAGTGCTTTTGATTTGCAGCATCCTTTTCGAATAAGTATGCTCTTTCTATCTCGTTTTCAACAGCTGATTCATCAAAAGCTTTTCACTTTTTTCTAAAGTTAAAATGAATGGTTTTCTAAACTAATGATTACTCATAAGAGAAAAGTTGAAAAATACAGAGGCTACACATAGGAGAATAAAAGATTATTACTCAGTGATCACCTCTACTAGCATTTGTTGTGTTTCCTTTAAGCGTTTTAAAAAGTGTGTGTGGATTTTCCTGCTCATAGATTCTTAGATTGTTTTTGATTTATCATTATTAAATGACCATGTAATGAATGTCTTTGTAAATATACAGCAGTTTTCCTACAGTTTTTTTGACAGTTCACCTAGGATAGAATCTATTGTTCTCTGGTTGATGAACTACAATGAATATCTACAATAATGGTGGAAGAGGGGTGACTTGTTTAGTGTATCGAATGGGCTTAGGATTCATGTGACACAGTTTAGAATAATTGAAAAGAAAAAAGCCTAAACGTAAGATTAATTCTTACTGAAATAGGTTCTTTAAAGAGCTGACGTGAAATATAATAGAGCTGACATATTGCATGCCACTTAACATGTAGTAAAGACTGACATAAAGCTTTGCCATTATAAATCGAATTGTGGTACTTTAGGCACTCTTAGTAAAACTCAACCCCAAATTTCTTATTATTTGAGCTTAAATGTTTTATCTATAAATATATTTGTTTTGCCAGCAATCCCATTTTATTCATTAGGAAGATATTAAACTTGACATACATTAGTTACTCTTAATTATTGGCCAGGTTGCTTTATCTTACTTTATGTTGTCTGTATATGTTTATGCTTGTATATGTTGTATCTGTTGAGTCATTTTCCATTGATAACAAAATTATCTTGATGACGGTACTAGATTGAGTTGAACCTAATTAGATCAAGATTTTTAGAGATTAAATTTTGGTTAACCATTTAGATCACTTTAGTTAATACTAGAGATAATTCTAGATGAAGCTATGTATGCCTGTTTAGAAAAATTTTATTTTTATTTTCACTTGGTATTTAAAGAAGATTATGCCCTTCATTTTATTATTTTTTAGTAATTTAGATTTTGATAAAAAGAAAGCAAAAGAAGACAGAAATTTCATGTAAATTCAAGATTTGCTTGCCTCATTGTCTTCCTGCCTTTACCACCCACAAGCATTTATTTGACAGATATACTCTGAGCAATTAAAGGATATCATAGTTACCATAAAATTATATTATACCATGTTAAGAATTGTGGTACTTTAGGCACTCTTAGTAAAACTCAACCCCAAATTTCTTATTATTTGAGCTTAAATGTTTTATCTATAAATATATTTGTTTTGCCAGCAATCCCATTTTATTCATTAGGAAGATATTAAACTTGACATACATTAGTTACTCTTAATTATTGGCCAGGTTGCTTTATCTTACTTTATGTTGTCTGTATATGTTTATGCTTGTATATGTTGTATCTGTTGAGTCATTTTCCATTGATAACAAAATTATCTTGATGACGGTACTAGACTGAGTTGAACCTAATTAGATCAAGATTTTTAGAGATTAAATTTTGGTTAACCATTTAGATCATTTTAGTTAATACTAGAGATAATTCTAGATGAAGCTATGTATGCCTGTTCAGAAAAATTTTATTTTTATTTTCACTTGGTATTTAAAGAAGATTATGCCCTTCATTTTATTATTTTTTAATAATTTAGATTTTGATAAAAAGAAAGCAGAAGAAGACAGAAATTTCATGTAAATTCAAGATTTGCTTGCCTCATTGTCTTCCTGCCTTTACCACCCACAAGCATTTATTTGACAGATATACTCTGAGCAATTAAAGGATATCATAGTTACCATAAAATTATATTATACCATGTTAAAGCGCTTCTTAATTTTAACTTTTTTTTTTAAACTACTCATCTCTAGCACTACTATTACTTCTGCTACTGTTAACTGTTATTAAAGGCTCACCATATGCAAGGACCTGGGCTGAATTCCTTATGTGTGTTGTCTTTTAGCAAACCCATGGGGTACTTAATAGTATAATTAGATCCTTTTTGTATACTGGGAAACAGCCTTAGTAGCAGTCATGCACTTGGAGAGGTTGTCGCCATCAGCAGTGAAGGTGACTGCTTTGAATCAGGCTTCCAACTCCAGAACCTGAATTCTTAGGGATCATACCATCTTACCCACCCTAACCCAAGTTAAGTGGAAATCTGAGGTTTTATCATGCATTTGGAAAACAGAATGTAACAATTGGCGTTTGTTTCTGTTGTCTCTTTGTGCTTTTAGTTTGCTTTCTAATTTTTGAAAACACATTGTTAAAGCTCTTAGATGAAGCCTGGTAACATTTAGTATACTTTGTTAAAACTATGTTTTAAAAATTATCCTGATCTTGTGAATTTTTGTTTTCCCTAGAAATGAAATAAATCCATCATTTTAATAATTATTTCTATGATTATTTTTATATAGACATATTTATTTTTTCTACTCCTTCGCTTTCTTGTTATTTTACATTTTGAGGAATATAATGGGATTATAAAAAATATCTCTGAAGTATTATTTCACTAGCAGTAATATTTGATAACTTTCCGAAACAACTTGTTTTGTGTAATCTCAGTAACTGAAAACTCTGAGTCTGAAAAAAATTATTTGAGATATTAAACATTTTTATATTTTTAACAACAGGTGATTGAAGATATATATGAGAAAGAAATTGTCAAATCAAGGTAGGAACAAGTTTAATTTTTATACATAGGAATTATTGTTTCTAACTTGGATCTCCTTTGAGTTTCCAAACTAAATGTAATTATAAATTTGGAACTTTCTTTTCTTTCTTGATTGGTCATCAAGGAGATGGTAGCTGGAAAAATTACATCTAGCTGCTGGAGAGTCAAGATATTTCTTTGCCTTGTAATTTTTAACTCAGATTAGAGAGATTACATTCTTTAGGGTTTATTTTGTTTTTGAAGGATGTGAGGAAGATTAAACATGGAGATTTAAAATTTTCAGTTTAGTTAATACTAATTTTCTTACCATTTTCTGATATATCTTTTCAAAAGATTATTTTAAAATTGGAAAAGTAAATATACATGATAATTGAATACCAAATAATGAAATATGTATTTTGTACAAGCTATATATATAATAAAAAATTATTTTGAACAATACACAGAAGGGGGTAAGTTTCAGTAAATCTTCTTCCCTGACCCTTAACCCTCAGTGTCTTTATTTATATATACATGTGTTTCAGTTCTCTACCCCTGTGATTTTTTTAAAACTGCGTCTTGGATATTTTTCCATATTTGCACCTGTAGACATATATGCCCAATCAGTATTTTAAAAGGTAATTGACTAACTGTTTAAGTATGAAATGGAAACATTCATGTTATGAATGTCATAGACCTTATAAAATGGCAGATTTTATTTTTTTCATGTGTTCCATGAAATTAGGAGGTGAATTTTACTAAATATTGTAAACACAGTGTCAAAATAAGAGGCTGGTTGTTTTGTTTTAATGATTGATTCTTGAGCCCGATTGATTCTAGAGCCTTTGGTCCTAACAGGACCAAAGACCATGTTAAGGTTTGTTTGTTTTAAATTTGAAGAGCAATAGGAAACCAGTGAAGCCTGATGGTGGTATTTGAAAAATGCCCCCATTGGAGGGGGTCAGAGTCAGGTAGTTAGCTAGGTGAATATTGTTGTAGTCTGGTTAAAGATAATAATAGCATGGATCAGCATGGGAAGGTGAGATACAGAGGAGTTACCAATTTGAGAGAGAGGGAAGTGAAAAGATGGTTGGTGGCCGGATGTGATAAGTGTGGGAAGGGAGGAATCAAGGATGACTCCACAAAGTTTTCGGCCAAGGTAGTCAGGTGATTAGCTGCCATTCCTGACTTTTGCTGTTGTTGGTGGTGGAATTGGGTATAGAAATGTTGAATTCTAGCTACTAAAGAGCCTTATAGATGTAGAATAAGCAGTTAGGTGTCTAGGTGTAGAGTTATGAATAGAGGACTCGGGTGAGCCTACTTAGAGCACCAACCACCATTTTAGTGCTAAGGGTACATGAGTGAACATGGCAAGTAAAGTCTCATGTTAACTCATGGAGCTTATGCTCTAATTCTTACGTAGACAGATAACATATGCAGATGTAGCGTCAGCAGGCTGTGAGTGCTATAAATTAAAGTGGGATCAGGGTACAGTGACAAAGACCGCTGTGACAAAAGATTGAATGATCAGGCAGTCCTCTCTTAAGGTGTATCACATGTGAGCCAACATGTTAACTGTTATCTTCCTTTTATGGATGAGAAAATTGAGGTACAGAGAGGTTAAGTAACTAGCCCAAGATATTTTACCATAGGTAGGTAAAGAGGCTGCTCCAGTTATTAAATCCTTGTTCTCTGGCTCTTATCCAGTACTTTGTTCTTAAATAGGACAGGGTCCATTTGCTCTTTAGGACTCTCTTAACCCATACACTGTGATTTAATTGTTAATCCAATTATGAATCCATCTAAGTGATTTTTATACTGAAGAAAAAGGGATAACTTATAGAGCAGTTTACTTTTGCCAGTGTTTAGATTTCTTTTCATTAAAAATGTTTAAGCCTCTTTACAATGAAATTAATAGATACTGCATAAAATGTACAGAAATGTATAGCCTTCTGAATTTTACCACCACCGAGGTTAAAAAACATACACCAACATTGTCAGCATCCTAGATTCCCTTGTATGCCCCTTTGCTTTACCATTTAAATATGTAAATATGCAAACATGAATACTGTAGTTTAATTTTGCTTGGTTTTAAACTGTAAAAAAAAAAGGAACCACATAATATGTACTCTTTTGTGGCTGGCTTCCTTTGTTCACCAATATTATTTGATTTTTTAATCTTCTGTTTAACAATCAATCTGGAGTAGATAGCTCAGAAGTTCATGTCAAGTCCTTGTCAACCTTTTAACAAACTTTGTATAAGTAATATTTGTCTTTATTACTTGTAACTTTTCATCCTTTAAAGATTTTCTGGCATGTCTAATCTCTAGACCCATTTTTATATCTTTTATATATATATAAAACGTTAGTTAAGCTCTTTACCTGTCTCAGCAAGTTTAATTTGCAAAGCTGGAAGCTTATATCCAGTGGCATGCATATGGTCTGGCTACTTTATTTCTAATACACAAAATGATAAAGCTACATTAGTGGACATTTGGACTTATCTTTGAAGAGATACCCTGTAACTGCAGGATCATTTATCCATATAAAACAAACACTTCTGTTTCTTAAAGTATATACAGAAATATCTGATTCTGCCTCTACAATTTTCTAATATTTTAGACTTAATATCAAAACTACATGACATGTCTGTAATACACATTTGTGTCCTTTATATAGGAAGGCAGGCATGACTTCAGCAGAACGTTTCCATTCGATTACCATTAAATGAAAGAAGAATAGTGCTTAAGAAATTGAGGCAGACTAGCTTTTGGCAATGGTGATCCAATAATATCGGTGATCCAATATTATGAATATTGATGTGAACTTGCATTTTTATTAAATCTACTCGGCTTATTAGTTTGTGTGTTGTATACTTGTATGTCGTGGTGCTAATTGTGTTTGTTATATGAATAGGATGTAATTCTTCTTAGTTTTTAAAAATAAATAAAGTGAACAAAATAAAAATATATAAAAGCAAAATTTGCTTTCTTCAGTGTTTCATTGGACATAATTATTCTGATATGTGAGGCAGTATTAAAACAAGATTCCAGAATACATCTGTGTTAGTAACTTAGAAAGGTTATATTCTCTATTTAAATATTTTTACTATTGACTTTTATATTTTTAGGTTTGCCATCAGAAAGATAATGCTCTTGGAATTTAGGTGAGTTAAAAGACTTTACTTTGATGATGTTAAAGATGACAGTATGACTTAACTTTTAACTAGGTTTTCTGTACACTTCTGTGAGTTGGTAAGAAAATAATTACTATAGACTTTTGAAGTTTTATATTTTTGTGTTTGGCTTATTTTGGATGTGTATGACATCTTTTGTTTTCAAGGCTGTTGTTCCATTGTTAGAGTAACTGTATTTTGAAGTGTTTCTCACTAATTAAGATAGGGTGTGCTGAGCAATTTCTGAACTCTTACTTGGTTCCTCTAGTTACAATGGGAGTAAACTGGAATGCATTCTATAGCCATTTTTTTCCTTCCAAGCTTATTTATTATTACCAAACCAACCTTATCCTGACCCAAACCATTTACAAATATTTCAGGAAGAAGAGGATATGCAATTTTTAGATTATAATTTAGATTATATTACAGCTAGGTATGGCCAGTAGACTGGAAGGAAAAGCTAAGATTGTTGTTGATGATAGTAGTATTTCTCATTTATTGAACCTTATGCTAGACATAGTGTTAAACATTTTATATATAGAGCAATCATAGCAATCCTGCAAAAAGTCAGCATTATACTTTCCATATAGTGAAGGAAAAAAACTGAGATCAGAGCAGTTAAGTAATTTATTCAAGATAATGTGTTTTAAGTAACTGGTGGAGCTAGGCTGCCAGTGTCCGATGCCAAAGTTCATGGTTTTTCCACTTCTCCACACTCTCTTGAGGTATAGTCTGCATCAGAAGTCAGTCTCTGTTTTAATGACTATAACTCTGGGGGATAGTAAAAGACAGGGAAGCCTGATGTGCTGCAGTCCAAGGTTGCAAAGAGTCAGACATTACTTAGAGACCGAAAAACAACAACTCCCTTCATAAACTGATTTGATCCTCACAAAAATGGCATAAGACTAGCGATCTCTTCAAGAAAATTAGAGATACCACCACAACATTTCATGCAAAGATGGGCAAATAATGGGCCCAGACATGGTATGGGCCTAACAGAAGCAGAAGATATTAAGAAGAGGTGGCAAGAATACACAGGAGAACTGTACAAAACAGGTCCTCATGACCTGGATAATCATGATGGTGTGAACACTCACCTAGAGCCAGACATCCTGGAATGTGAAGTCAAGTGGGCTTTAGGAAGCATCTACGAACAAAGCTAGTGGAGGTGATGGAATTCCAGTTGAGCTATTTCAAATCCTAAAAGATGATGCTGTGAAAGTGCTGCACTCAACATGCCAGCAAATTTGGAAAACTCAGCAGTGGCCACAGGACTGGAAAAGGTCAGTTTTCATTCCAATCCCAAAGAAAGGCAATGCCAAAGAATGCTCAAACTACCACACAATTGCACTCACCTCGAAATTAAGGTAGTAAAGTAATGCTAAAAATTCTCCAAGCCAGGNCCAACCTAGACAGCATATTCGGAGAAGGCAATGGCACCCCACTCCAGTACTCTTGCCTGGAAAATCCCATGGATGGAGGAGCCTGGTAGGCTGCAGTCCATGGGGTCGCTGAATCGGACACGACTGAGCGACTTCACTTTCACTTTTCACTTTCATGCATTGGAGAAGGAAATGGCAACCCACTGCAGTGTTCTTGCCTGGAGAATCCCAGGGATGGGGGAGCCTGGTGGGCTGCCGTCTGTGGGGTCGCACAGTGTCAGACACGACTGAAGCAACTTAGCAGCAGCAGCAGACAGCATATTAAAAAACAGAGACATTACTTTGCCAACAAAGGTCCATCTAGTCAAGGCTATGGTTTTTCCAGTAGTCATGTATGGATGTGAGAGTTGGACTATAAAGAAAGCTGAGCACCAAAGAATTGATGCTTTTGAACTGTGGTGTTGGAGAAGACTCTTGAGAGTTCCTTGGACTGCAGGGAGATCCAACCAGTTCATCCTAAAGGAAATCAGTCCTGAATATTCATTGGAAGGACTGATGCTGAAGCTAAAACTCCAATACTTTGGTCACCTGATGCAAAGAACTGACTCATTTGAAAAGACCCTGATGCTGGGAAAGATTGAATGTGGGGAGAGAAGGGGACAACAGAGGATGAGATGGTTGGATGGCATCACCAACTCAATAGACATGAGTTTGGGTAAACTCTGGGAGTAGGTGATGGGCAGGGAGGTCTGGCATGCTGCACCCCATGGGGTCATAAAGAGTCAGACACGACTGAGTGACTGAACTGATCTGAACTGAGCTGAGGTGTTATTATTGCAGAGAAAAATTGAAGTTTGTAGCTATGAATTGACTTGTAAGTAAAATGACTGCTATATCTTAAGAACTATATTGTTATTAAATACTTGATCTCATTTAACCCTCATAATAGTTCCAGTGAGATCTTCCTTATTTTATAGAGAGCACTTAGGCTAGAAATTGGATCCATATGACCCTTAGATTAATATACTTTTTCATCATACCATGCCATCTTTCAAGAAGAACAATAAAAGTCAAGTGGTTGCTGATACACAGGATAAAACCAGAGTTGTATAGTCCTGGCAGATACCGGATACCAAGAGAATTGCAAGAACTAAAGGAGAAAGCAGCAGAACATATTTTGGCGCCAATGACAGTGAAAGATTTTTAATAACTGAAAAAGTGCGTTGTTACCTTCCAAGAACTTTATATAATTTCTGGGTGAAAATGCCATTTTCTCTGTGCCAACCTCCAGACACAATAATTCTCATTTGTAGTAGAGATGATTGATGGTCTCTTGCTAGAGTGGAAAGTGAGATGGCATGGAGAAGGTGTCTAGGTACAGGAGAGTGAACTGAATCTTGAGAAAACTCATCAGAGGGACATGTTGTTATAGGTTACACTATATAGGTTACATTTGCTGCAATTGCCAAAATAGAATCAGGGAATTAGTGAACAGTCCTTAAGTTTGGTTTAAAGAGATGTAGTTTGGAGTGTGGTCTGTATCATCTATTTATCACAGAGATAAGTGCATCATCTTGGGCAGACCATTGACTCTCATATTCTCAGACTCCTCATCTGAAAAATGTAAAGAATAGGTTTGGAATTGACTGTGTAATCAGGTATTACCCATGATATTACTGTTAAAAACTGTGGCAAGCCAATGATATCTGTGGGGCATCTGGCTGAATCAAATATAAAGATACTCTGAAATGATATGTATTCCAACTAAACTGCAAAAAAAGTGGTACAGCTAAAACCTTGATGAATGTGAGTCCAGACTGTCAAATTACAGGGCACATTACAGCAAGATTTAGTTGAAGCAATGAAGAGCAGAATTAGGTACTCCTCAGAAAACCGCAGGTAATTAAATCATATACATACTGTCAAATCATGTTTAAAATTATTATGAGTATAAAAGAAGAAATAGAATGTGTGTAAGAAACAAGACACTAAAAATGGACAGGTTTGGGGGAAAATGGAAATAAAAGTCATTGAAATTAAAAAAACTCAGGGGTTAAATTGAATAGATTAGACACAGCTAAAGAGGGAATTAGTGAATGAGGATTTAGAGCTGAGAAAAATAACAAATAACAGAAAAGAGAAATAGAGGTGTAAAGCATACAAGGCAATTAAGAGATACAGAGGCTGGAATGAGAAGGCCCATTAGAAGTTTCAGCAGAGGTTTAGGGAAAATGAGGGAGTGGCAACTTAGAAGAGATGATGGCTAAGAATTTTCTACAGTTGAAACATGAGTCTGTAAGATTCAGGAAGTATATCTGTGAACAGAGCAACAGTGACAAAAATCTTAAAATCTGCTAGAGGAAAAACGATTACTCAGAAGAAGAAGAACAAATTGACTGATAGTAGACTTCGCAATTGCAATAATAGAAAAGATAGTTGAATGAGTCTAGTAAATAGAAAAACAGAACTATCGACCAAGAAAGAATTCTGTCACCAGCTAAACTGCATGAAATAAACAGATTTCAGACAGAATCATACTAAGAGACTTGCTAACAGAAGTTCTGAAGGGCATAACTTAGGGAAAAAGAATTTAAACTTGTAAAAAAAGAATGATACAAAGTTTCATGCATTTACTATATGAGAGAGTAGTCTATAACTTGGAGTCTTTTGACAGTTATTTAGGATAAAATACTATTTACCAGTTTCCTACGCTCTTTAAACTAAGTAAGAATGATTCCTAAGATAAACCCTTGGAAATATCAACATGAGGAGACCTTTGAAGCTTAAGAGGAAGTAGAAAAATTCTGTTATAGGGCAATCTGAAATGCACAACTGTGTGTGCGCACATGTGCACGCTTGCATGTATACATGAAGACGTCAGTGAAAAGTTATATTGAAAAGTTATTCATGTGGAGTGATTTAAAATAGAAACAAAAAAGTTCTGTGTTCTGCATTAGTGCTTGAGAAGATTTTACAGCCCACGACAGTAATTGAAGTTTATAACTACTCTGAACAAGAAATGGTTAAGTTTTGTTTTGAAAATCAGAATTACTTAGTTTAGGAATGTTTTCACCAGTCTTAAAATAAGAATTTTGATGTTTTGAAAAGAAAATGCCAGTTACCTTGAAAACTGACTTATGTTAAATGCCTTGTAAATTAAGTAACAGATCCTCTTTTTGGGTAAGTCTTTTTCTTAGTTTTCAGAAATCATTTGGTCCTGATATGAGTTTGTGTTCATTTCTCAGTTACTTTTGTCTGTGAAGCTGTCCATTGTATCATTTTAGAGCTGGTATTTGTCAGATATTTTTGTTTTTTACTCTGTGAAGCACCTTAGATAAGGAAATATCCAGTGCTCTAATGGTGATAATTATACATGTCAGTAATCTTTGATGTTTTCTTACTTTGAAAGTATAAGACTCTCATTCTCCAGAGCCATATTTGCTACACATGTTTGCAGTAGTAGGACTGACCTACATTATACATTAATTTGTGAAGGACTCTCAGACTATAAATACAGATTTTCAAGAAGTTGTAAGTAATTAGACTTTTTCAGGGGAGTGATATAATGATATGGTAGTAACTAATGAAATATTCTATGCCTTTTTATTCTTTACAGCCAGTATCTTGAAAATTACCTCTGGATGAATTATTCTCCAAAAGTGTCTAGCAAAGCCTATTTAATGTCAATCTGCTGCATGGTGAATGAAAAATTCAGAGAAAATGTCCCTGCATGGGAGGTAACAGATTTAAGTTACTTCATAGCTTCCTTACTGTGCTCACTTACGCTGTTACAAAGTAGCTTTATTACTGATAATATTTTTAGAATGGGACTTTATCCAAAAATAAAGTAAATATCGAGAAAAAGAATGGATGTATGAAAAGTATTGGTTTGGCCAAAAAGCTTGTTCAGGTTTTCCCTAAGATGGTATGGGGAAAGCCAAACAAACTTTTTGGCCAACACAATGACATTTCTTTTGGTTTTAGTTCTTTCTTTAATATGTTGTGAATTGAAAAATTATTAATGTGAAGTTATTTTTCTGCTTTGTGCTTAAAACAAAGAATGGCATGGATTATAAAGACTTTTACATCAGATAAAGTAAATTTTATATCAAGTAGCTCAGAGAGTCGGACATGACAGTGATTGAACTGAACTGAGCTCAGATAATGTTCAATGAGATAATATTTTTCAGTGCCTTGTTTCACAACAGAGAGTATGTGTTTATAGTTTTACCCAAGTAAAGTAGTATGTCTAAAGTCAAGACAGTATTGCATATAGGGTTATTGTTACCATCTTTCTAAATTCCACATATATGTGTTAGTATACTGTATTGGTCTTTATCTTTCTGGCTTACTTCGCTCTGTATAATGGGCTCCAGTTTCATCCGTCTCATTAGTACTGATTCAAATGAATCCTTTTTAATGGCTGAGTAATATTCCATGGTGTTTATGTACCACAGCTTCCTTATCCATTCGTCTGCTGATGGGCATCTAGGTTGCTTCCATGTCCTGGCTATTATAAGCAGTGCTGTGATGAACAGTGTAAAGTAATTAGCCTCCAACTAATAAAAATAAATGGTAAAAAATAATAATAATCAAGTCAAGACAGGTGCTTATATTGTAATTTCAGTCTTCTCTTTATCTGATTTGGGATCTGTTTTCTCTTTTGAAATTTGTAATTGACATTTTCTCTTTGAACTACTGTAACAGAGCCTTGATCAGCTAACAAAGGTCCAAAATCTAGGTTTTCTTTGGCCATTATGAAATGGTCAGCTCATCAAAAGAGTTCCTTCCCCTCAATCATACTTCTTTAAATGAAGGAAAGCTGTGTATACTTGCCATCTCTTTTGAGAGGATGGTCTCCAAAATGAAAAGGTGTTAACATTCTTTAAGATTAAATCCATGGACCCTCAAATATTCATTATTACCATTGTATAAGGGCCTTGTGTCTTATTGAGAAATCTTAGAGCTTTCTTAAAGTTGCTTCGAACCTCCAGAGGAAGGGAGAGGGACACCAGAGAATGACTTCATCAGTTTTCATGCTGTAAAGACCACTTTGGTGATTAGAGTTGATACAGATAAAGAGAAGAGGTTACACAGATTTGGAAAGTAAAATTGATTGGATTTGATAATTGAAGTAGCTTGAGGGAGGGGATATTATTTTCAGTAACCTTCCAGATTTGGGCAACTGAATGTAAAAGATGAGAGGTGCCTCTTACCAAGATAGGTAGAAGAGGATTGAGGAATACTTTGGCGGGCACAAAATTGTTGAATTGAGTTTTGGACTTTCTGAGTTTAAATTGCTTTTGGAATATCTAGATGAAATTGTAGTAGACAAAGCAATCTAAGGAGTGAAGAAATGTGGACTGAAGATGTGTATTTAGAATCATTAGCATATGGTATTTGAAGTAATGGGAGAGGGAGAAGAAGAATGAGGCCGGATCCCCAGGGACACTGCCTTGTAAACTGGCAAAGAAGAGAAACCTTCACATCAAAAAGGAGTTCAGGGATGGTGAGCATCTTTAGGACGTGACAGTTATAGCAGCTTCAGGGGAGTGCTGTACACGGAAGCTTGTTTTAGAGAAATAACTGCAAACAACTAGTGTAGGTCGTACATTTGGAGCACTTGCCTATAAAAGAGAAGAGAGGCAACAAAGATGGGCAGGTAGATCACAGAGGAGCTTGAATATGTTTACATTATTTGTCTTTTCTTTTTAAAACGTTATTTGTATATTAAGAGTAAAGAGATAATATAAAGGAAAGGATGTCTTTGAGATTAAATAGAATATGAAGACTTCAGTTTTTGCTCAAGATGTTTCTTTGTTTAAATTAAAAGAACTGAAGCACTTCAGATTTTTAATAAAAAAAACAAATCCTAAGCTAATTACCAGCCTAATACTTGAAGAAAAACTAAAGGAACCAAAGCCGTTATTTTATTAGCTGAAAATTTCTGCAACTCTCACATTTCCCTGTCGGAAGTCTATATTTGACTTGCCACAGTGAATTATAAGTAAGCAAGTAATCTTTTTATAATTATTACAGTTGGTTAATAGACTTCTAAAAAGTCTGCCAGTGTTCGCTTACAGGAGAAAAAGAGGTGAGCAAGCCATTTCAAAATGAATTTTTATTCTTTCTCTTCTCAGACTTTTAAGAAGAAGCCAGATCATTTCCCATTCTTTTTCAAGTGCATCTTGAAAGCAGCATTAGCTGAAACTGATGGTGAATTTTCACTCCACGAACAGACAGTCTTACTGCTTTTTCTTGACCACTGCTTCAATAGTTTGGTAATTTTACTTTATCTTTTGGGAGAATGTTCAGATTTTCTTACTCTTTTAAGTTGACTGTAAATGAGATTAGCTCTGCAGCGAGCTCCTCATAGTTTAGTGAAGAATGAGGACAGTGCTAACATTTCAGCCCCTTCTTGGGAAAATCATCTTGTAGAATCTGTTTGCTTTTTAATAGATTTGAACTTAATCCATTCTTTTTTCTATCTAGCTTGTAAGTAAAATGATAAGAACTGAAATTCTTTAAATGTAGAGCAGCAAAGAGTCTGTTAACATGAACATTGAGTAATGAGATCAGTGTCATAAACTATACACAGGAACATAGCTTCCTTACTTCTCAGTCATACCTCATACACAACCTGGCAGGTCAGCAGAAGAGTTCCATTTTGAATTGACTGTTCAGGGGTGATTATGGATGATCTTTCAAAATCTCTTGGGTTGCCTATGATACATTTTTCATTCTTTGTAAGATTATGTTCTAAAAAATAAACATTTATAGTAATATCTTATTTGTACTTCTCTCCGGTGGTTATCTGAAGGTATTTATCTTTAAATAAATAGGTATATACCTCTGTGTGTGTGTGTGTGTGTGTGTGTATGTGTATAAAGGTGCTTCTGAATTGATAGTGCATTTAGACCCATGCAGGATAATGCATGAGGTTCTTTCTTACCCTGAAAACAGTGTTGATAGATGAATGGTTCTTGTCTGTTTCCATGTAGTACCTCACATGGGTCTTGCAAAGACCAGAAAAAGATTTATATTCAGTATTACCTCTTTAAAACATTTATTAAATTAAACAAAGCAAATATAAATAGATGTGATTCCTTGTCAGAAATGGAACAAAACCAAGATTTAATTAGTATTGGTAGTTTGGTGCTAGTTTAATTAACTTAAAAGCTAGCTTATTATTATTGGTACTTTTTTTCAGTTTACCACCAGTATTTATTATTTGAGGTAGTTATGCTCTAAAAAATAGCTGTGAACACAGAATTCGCTTAAAACTGAACTACTGCTCTTAAGGAAAATACAGAGAGAGTTTCATGCAGGCCTCTGGTCACGTTTTCATCAGGTGATCAATGTATAGCCTTATTTTATGTGTTTCTGTTTAAAGTCACTTTGTTGTTGATCAACAACAACTATGTTGTTGCTTTGTTAATGTTGAACTTAACTTATGTAACTTATGTTACATAAACACTGTAACTTATGTCTGAACAAACTTACCTAACACACAGTATTTTCTCTTTAAGGCACATCACAGCATTCTTCCCCCGGGAACACTGAACAACACTGAAGCCCTGTGCCTGGGGCCATTGTAAATAGCAAAATCACCAACAAAAATCACAATATTGTGAGAGAGTAGCACTAAATAGACCAAAAAGAGATGCTAGTGTAAGAGAGCTGAAGCAGGAAGGCAGAGCACACCTTGTCTAACCTCAGCTCAAAACGTGCGTGTTGGGCAGTTCCCACTTTGCTCTGTGCTGTCCTGAATGACGGTGAAAGCCTTGGCAGTATTGAATTGAGGGCTACAAATATATTTTGCAAATTGATGAAATCACAAATATGGAATTTACAAATCATGAGGCTTAGCTTTATCTTTTTAAAAATGGATTGAACTTCTTAATAATAAAAAATTGTTGATTTGAAAGAATTGATGGCATATTTCCCTCCATGACTGTTTTAAACAGGAAGTAGACTTGATACGGAGTCAAGTACAGCAGCTTATCTCTCTCCCAATGTGGATGGGCTTACAGCCTGTAAGTATCTCAGTTCAGAAACTTACATGTATTTGTAAGTGGAACATGTGGTTTTAGATGGTGTAGCTTTAATATGAATATAAAATGGCAGTTAAAAATCCCCCACCAAATTTGTCTAATTTACTATGTATTAACTAATCATAGGTGTAGTTTTTTTTTCAGTTTTAAAGCTTTTGTGTGTAAGCCAATAAATATTTCTCCTAATGTCATTATTTTAAGGTGAAATAAGGTAATATCTATTGAGCTCATAAAGGGAGTTAATTTAGTAAAATATTATTATTCATAGATATGTCTTTGGATGAGACTAAATACAGACTTGAATTTTTAATTTTCCTTGAATGGAATGTACACATAACTATAGGAGAACATCAGAATTATGTTGAATATTAACAACTTCATTTTTTCCATCAAAGTCTTATTGGATAATATGGGCGAGTATCAAAGCCAAATTAACAGATTTTAGGGAGTTAAGTTAAAACTCAGATTTCTATATAATACTGTATTCAGAATTTCATTTCCTGTATGTGGGTGGTTTTGCAGACATTCAGATATACAGGCTCATTCATAGATACCAGTTGATGAAGGTTAAAACAGGCACCTATAAATAATTATTACCAATGGGCTTCCCTGGTGGCTCAGAGGTTAAAGCGTCTGCCTCCAATATGGGAGACCCGGGTTCGATCCCTGGGTTGGGAAGATCCCCTGGAGAAGGAAATGGTAACCCACTCCAGTATTCTTGCCTGGAGAATCCCATGGATGGAGGAGCCTGGTAGGCTACAGTCCACAGGGTCGCCAAGAGTCAGACACGACTGAGCGACTTCACTTAAAAATGCATAAGTGCCGTGAGAAAGAGTGGTGGTATGGACATTTCCTTATTATGATACCTGTTTTATGTGCATTGTTTCAGACTGACTTTCTGAACTTTAAATGTTAATGCTCATATTTTTCAAACTGAAGTCCTGAATTTTAGAAATAAGAGAGAAAATTTAGAAATTTAGAAATATGAAAGAAAATTTATTACTGAGCTTAAAATCTTAATGAGAAATTTCTTTTGTCTTATTTTTTTTCTATTGACAGGTAATGGAATTGAACTAGTTTTTTAAAGTGTAGGTATTAGTTTCTTAGATTCCAGCATTTGTCACATTCCTATCTGGTTTTATCCTATTTGCGCTATATTATATTCTTGCATTGGGGTTATGGCTGATTTAATGCCACATCATTCTTTCAGGCACGATTGGAATTAGAATTAAAAAAGACACCTAAGCTAAGAAAATTCTGGAACTTGATTAAAAAGAATGATGAAAAGATGGATCCAGAAGCAAGAGAGCAGTATGTTGCAAAAGCTTTGTTCCATGTTGGTTTGTTATGCTGAGTTGTGAGTCTTAGATGTTGCTGACTTGTTTTGTTTTTCCCTTTATGTAGTGCTTTTACAATTAAGAAGTGCTTTTACCTAGAGCATCATAGAAATACTATTTACAGAGTTTCAGTGGAGAAGCCACACATTATCATTTCTCCTTTCCCTTATCTCTGCCCCAGTCACAAGTGTTATCACTGGTCTTCCCTTTGCCTGTTGTCCATCATGGTTTGTTCATCATGGATGGGTCTCAATTTTCTCCACAGTCTTCAGGCTGTCAGTCCAATTTTTCTTTCTTTTTCCCATTCCTTTATTCTTAACAATGACTTACACACTCCACTTTATACACTTCATTTATTCAATAAATCTAAGTGTTTATTATTTTACTGGGTACTATTATAGGTATAGGCAATATGGCATAGAACAAAATATAAACTAATTCCTGCTCTTGTGGAGTTTACATTCTAGTTGGGGGAAGCGGCTAATAACAGATGGATTTTATGATATATTATCCAGTGGTTCATGCTAAGGAAGAATATAAATGAAGTATACAACGGGTAAGGAAGCAGATGAGGGTGTAGATTATTTTAATAGTAATTATTATCAATTGAATAAAAGTCTGATAGCAAGCATTTATGTCATCAAACAAAGTTCTATTAGTAGGAAGGAAGGGAAGAATCTGTATACTCTTAAGACAGCAGTCCTCAAACTTTTTGGCACCAGGGACCAGTTCATGGAAGACAGTTTTTCCACAGACAGGGGCAGGGAATGGGAATGGTTTCAGGGATAATTCTCATAAGGAATTTACAACCTAGATCACAAGGTTTGTGCTTCCATGAGAATCTAATGCTGCTGCTGATCTGACAGGAGGCAGAGCTCAGGCAAGTGATGGGGAGTGGCTGTAAATACAGATAAAGCTTCACTTGCTTTCCTCCTGCTGGGCAGCCCAGTTCCTCACAGGGTTGGGGACCCCTGCTCCAAGAGGTTTCTCTCTCTCTCTCTCTCTCTCTCTCTCTCTCTCTCTCTCTCTCTCTCTCTCTCTCTCTCTCTCTCTCTCTCTCTCTCTCTCTCTCTCTCTCTCTCTCTCTCTCTCTCTCTCTCTCTCTCTCTCTCTCTCTCTCTCTCTCTCTCTCTCTCTCTCTCTCTCTCTCTCTCTCTCTCTCTCTCTCTCTCTCTCTCTCTCTCTCTCTCTCTCTCTCTCTCTCTCTCTCTCTCTCTCTCTCTCTCTCTCTCTCTCTCTCTCTCTCTCTCTCTCTCTCTCTCTCTCTCTCTCTCTCTCTCTCTCTCNGAAAAGAGAGTTGAGGATAGAAGGGAAGCTTGGAGTTGTGCTGGTGATCACTGAAAATGAGAGAAACTGAAAAAAGCTGGATGTCAGAGAAACAAGTTTGGGAGTAAGGAAATGAGAGGTATGAGAACAGGAGAACAGGGTCAGAATAGGAATATCCTTTCTTTAACTTCAGACTCCAGTCTCATCTCTTCCATGATATTTTTCTAACCAACAACCCCTTAATTGGGCTACTTACATGATATCTTTGTGTTATTTGACTACTTTTTAAAAATTTAAACCCTCTCTTCCCATTACCTCAGTATGATTTAATTCCAAATTAATAAACTGTTCGTTTCTTAAACATTCCTTTCCTAACTACCTTTGCCCCTCTACTTGACTTAATTGAGGCTAACCTTTTAAGCAGTCTTCCAGACCAAGTACTAAGCCTGCAGTGCTTGCTTCTGAATGGAAACACAGTGTTTTTCATTGAAACATCAGCTCTTTTTGTAATGATTAGACTGTGTACAGTTGTTTAGAGTGTAAGTTCTATGATCAGACTTAACCTAGGTTTCACACTCACCTGCTGTGTAAGTTTGGGCAAGTTACTGCGCCTCTTTGAGCCTCAATGTGAGGTCAGGACAGAATAGTACCTGTTTTGTAGGAGTGCTGTCAGCATTAGATCATTTTGTATGATGTCCTTAACACAGCTCATATCCTAGTGCAGTAGGTGCTCAGTTAATGTCAGGCAGTTTGACTAATTAATGTTGGCTTGTGTTACTGATTATGTTTTATGACGTCGTCATTTTAAGTATATTTTAGTCATTTCCCTGCTTGTTATTCCCAACAGGGCTGGCATAATCATTTGTAGCTGTCCAGTATGTGATGATTGGTTTTTGAATAGTTGGCACATAATGCATCTTAAATTAGTAATGAGTAAAAAGTTGTTTTTTAAACTAATATTTAATTTTTATACATTGTAATACTCTTTAATAATTTAAGCATATTAAAGTATGAAATTGCTCATTTCAACTACATACTTAAGTATTAGATTTTTAATGTTGAAGGCAGACTATAAATGAAATTTTGAAAACTCCTTTCTAGTCCTGACCTTTAAATCACAAGTGAAAACTTTTATAATAAGACAGAGATGCTTTCTTGGCTGGTTATTAGGCCAGCAATGAGGCTCCTGTTTTCTTCATGTAATGCTGTATTTCTCTCAAAGAAGAAGCTGCTTAAATTATGGTCCTGATTTCAGAAAGAAATGAAACAATTTGAGCAGTGTAAGAAAGGCTGCTCAGCATTTAAGTTTTACTTTAGAAATAATTATTTCTCAAAAATAACTTGCTCACTGTTTGTTATCTCTCTGATTTTAGAGCCTATCAAGAAAGAAGATTTCTTTCACAACTCATCCAGAAGTTTATCTCGGTGCTGAAATCAGTCCCGCTTTCTGGTAACAATCTTTCTTTTCTCAGCTCATTTGTGAAGTTACCATTCAGATGCCCATCTGGTATTTATATTTAGTCTAAAAACTGCTCTCCAAATGATTTTAAATTACATTGACAAGGGATTATGTCCTTCCCTTTTCAAGTATGCTACCTGTCTGAGTATTGTGACTGCCTTAGAAATTCATATCATTTAAGGGCACCAGCATGGTTATTGAAATGTTCATTTATTTAGCAGTTATTTTTGGAGCTTCCTTATAACACACAGGTTTAGATCAAGGTTTCTGGGACATGGTAAACAAGATAGTCACAGACCCTATCCACGTGGCATTTATAATTTGGTACTAAATAATGTTTTCAAGCCATATCAAATACTGTTTAGGAGAGGAAGAAGAGAATTATTTTGAGATATGAGCTATAAGATGAAATGGAAAGTATTTTCCTCCATCGTGATCCCCATGTGGAGTATAAACTTCAAAATATATCACAATTATCCACTGCATATAGATACATATATGTGTGTGTGTATGAGTATGAGCTTGATGTACCAAGAGGATCTAACTATATTTGCTGGGTTGGCAAGATTGACATAAGCATCTAGTGAGTGCAAATAGGGTATTATTTACTTAATAAAAGTATGTGTATGCTATGTATGATGTTATCATTGGTTGTTAGTATTTTCTAACTGAAATATAATCTTAAGAACAGTTCAATAGGTGTACCATATTTATATGCACCAGAGGTTATACCATACATATGGATCAGAGATTGTAGCTTTGTTTAAACTAAAATACAACAATAGTGTACTTAGAAATGTTGACTTTCCCCAAGTAATAGTTTACAACTGAAAATCACACCTGTAATTCAGTGAGGAATAGATAATAATGCTACAGATGCTAATTTATGGTACCAGATTTGGGGTATAATATTACTACCAGTATTAGTGTAAAGAAAAAATTGTCATATGCTTATAATCTGTCACCTAATGTTTATATATTTAAATCTTTCAGTTAAGCACCTTGAACCTGGAAAGAGGACTTAGATTTGGTTTCCTTGACACAAATATTAATAATGAGAGCCAGTAATGTATAATAATTAGTGTCAGGTTGGGAATTCCCTGGTCCACAGTATAGGTCTTGGCACTTTCACTCCCTTGGGCCCAGCTTCAGTCCCTGCTCAGGGAACTAAGACCCTACAAGCCATGAAGTGAGGCAGCACCCCACCACCTCGAACCCTCAAAAAATTGACGTCATCTAGAAAAGTTTGAAAGTCAAGTAAATATAACAGTATAGGGCCTGCAGAAATGTTAATGAGTAACAAAGCACTAAATGTTGCCATCGTCATAATATATTGTCAGAAAACAAAATTTCTTAGATTGATCTTGAGCTTTAATCAAAATTTATTAACTTGCTGGCAAAGGAAACAACAGGGATGAAAATAGTGTGCCAGTTTAGAAAGGGCACAAAACCAGATGGTTTTTATAGTTAGAAAACAGAAAACTAATTTTTAAAAGACTGTCTGTAGTTCCATTTTGCAAGGTTATTGCAAACAACTGTCCACATCAATTGTTATAAAAGAAATCTGTGTAGGATGATTTGAAATGTCAGGGCTGCTATCAAAAGAAGGAAAAAACACACGGTACACACAAAAAGCAAGTGATAAGAATTTATTGGTGTCCAAAATTGGAATAACAGGGCTTCAGCTCGAACAACATGCCTCATAGGGCCAATTAGTGTAAAAATATGCAGCTTTATCCACCAGAACTCAGAAATTGAGTGCCAAGCATCATGTTCTAATTTTAAATAGGCCATTTCCAGTAATTTTCTCAAGCTATAAATAAAAATATGGAATACAGATTTTGCTCATTTTTAAATTTTGGACAAAATTATTTTCCTTTGCCAGTAATAAGAACAGAAGATACAGCAGAGGACCAGTTTGAATGGATTTAATTTAAAAGTCACTCGTTTAAATTCTTTAGTTTTAGCAACTGTATGACCTAGGCTGTGTCTCAGAAAACTGGATTCCAGTTCTAACCGGCCATAAATCAAATGATTTTCCTCTGGTCCTCAGTTCTCACCTGTAAGATGAAAGGCTAGTAAGATGTTCTCTGAGGTCTTTTCTAGCCATAAAATTCTATAGTTACGTTATTTTAGGATTTGAACTATGGGCGTGTGTTACTTAAAAAAGTATTCATATTCTTTCTTCACATAAACCCTTCTATTTTCCTATGTACAACAAATGAATAAGTAGATTTAAATAAATTTAAATAAAGCATTTGTAGGACACCTTCTGTAGGTCTAGCACTGGGTTATTCACTGCTGGGAGTCCTTAGACTAAGGACCCTAAATTTTTCTCCTTTTCAATTGAAACAGTCTTGCCAGGATGATTTCAGCTGGTAAAATAACAGAACATTTTCTGACATTAGGAAAAAATAGAGATTTGTAGTCTGAAAGTATATCATGTCACAGAGTTGTACTTATTTTGAAAACGAAAATGGCCTTAAAAATAAACACTTAAAAAACAGTTTTGCAGGTCTGATTTTTAAAATGTGTCTCTGATGCAAGCTATATTTTTAATTTTCTCCTCCTTATAGAGCTTAATGTAAGGGTAAGGCCTGCCCTTTTTGAAAATATGTGAGGTCTGTACTCTGAATCATAGTTAGTCCAATTCTGATGAATGAGATAAATAACCTTATTTAAATAACTAAATAACTGCCAGTTTTAAGATATAGTACCATAGAATGACCTAAGTAAGAAAGTTTTAATATGTTTTCTCTCTTATGTCTAGATCCTGTCACTATGGACAAAGTTCATTACTGTGAAAGATTTATTGAACTTATGATTGATCTAGAGGTAAGAAGTGTACAGTGATTTTTTCTGTTACATAATCATTAAGGAAGCTAATGATTATATATGCAAGATTAAACCCATGACTATATATGAAATATTTCTTTATCACCTCAAGGTGGCCTTAGTTTGTACCTATTTCAAGTGTCTTATAGAGAAGAAAGTCAAAAGTGATTGACTCTTGAAGTTTCAAGTGACTATCAAAGGGCTGTGTTTATATTAAAAACATTATTTAGTAAATCAGCATGAGTCCAGCAAGGGCAATTTATTTTCTGTCATGTTTAATTACCCCTTCATAGAGTTTTAAAAAGAGCTAAAGTCATTGGTTTATGGCCATCTTTTTAATCATCTCACTTTTCTAAGTGTGCCTAATATTGTTGATGATGAAAGATATAGCTGCTTGCTATTGTCAATTTTTAAAATTAAAATTCTTAAAAAAATTTCATGCTACTAGGTTTTTGATGCAGAGTTCAGATGCAGAGCTGGTGTAGTTGAGATTGAATTCATTTCCTTTCATTTCCTCTCCCTTTTTAATGCAGGAAGTTGAAAGAAAATCCTTTTTGTTCATTTCTTATTGGGAGAGCTAGGGTGGTTTCTAGACATGAGGATTAGAGTATTGGGCTAGCTGTCATTCATGAGATCTTCATTCAGATTCAAGCTCTGCCAGAAACTATAATCTCTGAGGATCTCAATAACCTCCCCTTTAACTTGAGGGTATTTGACTAGATTAGTGGTTTCAGAACCATGTTTGTCATAGTTTCTCAGTATTGTCTTGCTGACTGTCATAGGATGATGTGGGAAGGAGAAACTGAGAAAGGAATCTCCAGTTAGGGATTTTCACTCCCTTTTTTCCATTTCTAAACCTACACACAGTATATATTGGGATTTCACATAGGATTTTGTTTGAAAACTACCAGCCAAGATAGAATCTGAGATTTTTTTTCTCCAGTGCTGCATTTTGTTTAGAAACATTACCACTGAATTTACTTGTAGCATGGACTAGACCCTTTGCTTTGTGCGGTGTCTTTTGAGGGGCTGAAGGCGCTCTGTGTGTGATTAGCACCTCTGCGCGGAGTATCAGTGGACTTCACCTCTAGCTGGGAGAGCATGCAGACTTACCTGCTGTGGTGATGACTTTCTCCAGGCCCTACTCCCCACGAGACGCTGGTTTAATACCATCCTGGATGACTCCCACCTTTTGGTTCACTGTTACCTTTCCAATCTTGTTCGTAGAGAAGAGGATGGCCATCTTTTTTCCCAGGTAAGCATTTGTGTATCTGAATATACTTACTGTTTTCATTTCTAAGTTGATTTCTTCTTCCTTCGCCATGCAACTGGGAGTACCAGGGCATGGCGCAAAGTAAATTTTTGCTAAATATTTAGTTGAATGATGTAGATTCCTAAATTAGTTATTTTAAAGTGAAACCAAATCTTGACGTACAAAGTGGATGCCTCCTCATGTAGGTGGCCTCTACTAATGTTATATCATCATCTTTTTTTCTCTTCTAAATACTTATTTTATTAAAACAGTAAAAATTCAGCATTATTAAAATTGAGGGGGATAGTTAATTCTAATAAAACTTTTGTTAATATGTGATGTTATCATTGGGCTAAATTATGTATGCTATAGTTCCACGTGCTCATATATTTTGATTCTGTATCAGTGACTACTGTGGACTATAAATAAATGATAAGCATTAATTTCAGGGGAAGTTATTTAAAGTCATTAAATATTAGCAAAGAGCCTAATATCTTGGCCCTCTTTCCATGAGATGATAGTGACGGGCGGTTGGTACAGCGGAAGTGTGTACATACTTGGTCTGCTGCCTTGACTTGAAAGGCAAGTGCACTTGGTTTCCTGCTTTGTGTAGGAAGGCAGAGTAGTCAGGTTTCCCATTTCCTACAGTGTCATCCAGAAGAAAAGTCTTCTAACAAACTTCTAACACTTGCCTTTGGTGTGATCACAGCTGGAGATAACATTTTTATATATATTTACATACTGTCCTAAAAACTCTTATCTTGTGTCTGTGAGCATTCCTTTCTTTCCTATTCTCTTACTAAATTTTACCCAGTGATTGGTCACATGTATTAAAATACATTAAAATCCTAATATCAGGGAGGGGGGATAAATTGGGAGATTGGGGTTGACATATACACACCACTGGGTATAGTTAATAAGAACTTACTGTTTAGCACTGAAAACTCTACTTAGTACTCTGTTATGACCTATTTGGGAAAAGAATCTAAAGAAGAGTGAATATATGTGTATGTATAACTGATTCACTTTGCTATACAGCCAAACAACATTGTAAATCAACCATACTCCGAAAAAACTTGATTTAAAAAAATCCTAATATCTGATCTGCTATAGGTTAGAATTAAGAATAATAAAAATTGGGAGCAAATGCAGCCCCAGATTCTGTTGATGCTGCCGTCACAGGGGGAAAGGAGGCCTTTATCCTGCCTTGCTATTTTTTTTTCTCAATATAGAGAAGAGTATCGCTAATTGAGAATTGCAGAATTCTGAGTGGCATAAACCCTCAGGAGTTCCCTCTAATTGTATGGGTCTATATATTTACAGTGATGTAGAGAGATTCTTTTTTTCCGTTAAAATGATTGACTTCCTTTGATTAGTTCCTTAATGTTTCTTTAGTATTGGGATTGCAGTTTTAAGTTCTTCCCTGTAGAAGTAGACCAAGTATATGAGATAGACTTAACAATTTATTCACAGTGTATACTTTATTCTCACCTAAATAAAACATTTGTACATCATCTGAAATGTTTGTAGTAGTGTTTACATTCCAGGGCTTTTCGGTACCTCTAAGAAAGTATGTGGACTTATTTATTATTTTTAATAGTGTCTGTTTTTGCCTTCTTGCTCTCATGTTTGCACAGTTTGTTAATTTAAATGTATCCTTTCAGCTTTTGGACATGCTTAAGTTCTATACTGGTTTTGAGATTAATGACCAGACTGGAAACGCTCTGACAGAGAATGAGATGACAACTATTCACTATGATAGAATTACTTCTCTCCAGGTAAGGGAAATGCATTATAGCCTTTGCATCTGTTCCATGAAGTTGTGTCATAAATAATTTAGGTTTTATATAGTACAAATAGGAAAAGTACTTATTTAATAGTATGCTCATCTTGAATTTTTAAAATATTGCTAATTTTGATGGATTTATGAAAGAGAAACGTTTCTTTTATGGTCCTCAGTCTTGAGAATCAGTATATTGATATTTGACACTCAAAAATATTAGTTATTGGGCAAATTTGGTGCATTTAAATATCAACTTTATTTTATGAAAGAGTATTTCAACTTGCCAAAGTATGTGTGCATACTTCATACATTTTAAAGGTAAAGACATGTCATGGGGCTGAAATTTACCAGTGCAGCTCAGATACGCCCCCAAAGTACCTTTGTTTTTATTACTGAGCTCATTGTGCTCTTGGACTCCATTTCCTCTGGTGGAAGAAAAAGACTTTCATTTCTTAATTTAAGGTAATTAAGATCCTAAGCTTTTCAAGAGTCTTTTGCGGGGAGGGGGTGGGGACTGTGTAAAGCCACACCCAGCTTGAGTTCCGACTGTCTTTCCCCATCGGGCCCGCTCTCTCTCAGGGCCCTTGCCCTTCTGCGCGCAGTCCCAGCCCAGATGCCTTTCCTGCTCTTCTCAGAGCATCAGTGCTTTCGTCCCTCTGCCTCCGCCCTTGGAGCGACCGTGGCTGGCGTGCTGTGTGCGGTTCTCTTGGCACCGGCAAGGCGCCGCGATTGGCCTCTTGGAGGCCGGTTGTCCGCCTACTGACAGGGTCCCAGTGCTAGACCTCGATGGTGCCGGAGGCCTCCTGCGAGCCGGCGCCTCCATCTTCTGGCTCGGGGAGCTCACCTGCAGGCTTGACGCAGGCTCATTCCGCCGTTGTCTGTGGCGGTCGCATGGCAGGCCTCACCCGTGGCCTTGGCAGCCTCTGGGCAGTCCTCTGCAGGGGACTTCAAAACCTGTGGGTCTTTTCCCTCGGCATCAAGGACTGGAGGTGTTACCTCTCACACACGGAATCAAATCAGCATGGCGCTGCTCTTTCTGTTTTCCTGCAGCTTGCCCCATGCTGGTTGGAGGCGTCGGCCTGCGAGGGCCTCCTCCCTGAGCGCCGGAGTCCAGCAGGGCGCATGCGCACTACGCCGTAGGCCCCCTCAGACTCCTCTTCCGTGGGAGTTGCCCTGAGACTTCCTTTTAGTTTTGTTAAGCCAGTTCTTAATCATAAAGCGTTTTGTTTTGTTTTCTGTCTTTTCCCGTCAGTGAAGCTGGCCTTCCTGGCTCTTATCATCTATATTCAAAATGTGACTTTAGAAATCAAAAACTGCACATTGCCTCTGGTTTTACACCCTTGCCAGAACAATGCTGTTTTCTTTTCCTGTTGTATCTAGTGCTTTTGAACAAGGCAGAGATCACATTGCAGAAGCATACAAGAAAGAGAAGTGCATTAATATTTTTAAAAAATATTTTTTCTGTTAGGCAGTAAGTTGTTATATGTAGGCATTAAATTTTTTTTTTCCCTGTTCTTTTCTAGAGAGCTGCTTTTGCACATTTCCCTGAGCTCTATGATTTTGCTCTCTCAAATGTGGCAGAAGTAGATACTCGGGAATCCTTGGTCAAGTTTTTCGGACCTCTTAGGTAAGGCAGTATGAAAGGACAACTGGATTTTAATTTTCTTTATTTGCTTTTAGTTATTTTTGGACTGTTTTACGTGATGTTATTTGTTGCACTACTATTTATTGACAGTTAAAACTAGCTTCTCTCTAGCTTTTCTTATCTTTGGGTTACTTAAATATAATTATACATCTCTCTTTTTTGTAAAATTTATATCTTTATCTTTTAAAAAAATTTTTTTCTTTGTCGTAGCTTTCTTTTTTATATTTTTTTTATAACTTATACAGTTTTCCTAGGTTATAGGGTTTGAACCTAGGTAGTTGGTTGTCTGATTTCTGAGCCCTAATTTTTTTTTTTGAGGAGTAATAGACATAAAATATTATATTAGTATCATATGTATAATGTAATGATTTAATATTTATATTTATTGTGAAATTGATCACTGCAAGTCTAGATAGCATTCATCTTTAAGCATGTAGAACTTTATTGGTCTTGTAATGAGGACTCTGTTAAGATACGAATTCTGCCCAAATTGATCTATAGATGTAAGTATATTCCAGTCAAAATCTCAGGAGGAAATTTTATAGAAGTTGCCAAGCTTTCTCTAAAACTAATATGGAAAAGCAAAGGAACTAAGATAGTCAAAACCATTTTTGAAAAAAACAAAGTTAGAGGATTTCCACTACCTAACTTCAAAACTTACTATAAAGTCACAGTAATCAAGACATTGTGGTATTGAAAACAGGGTAGACATAGATCACTGGAATAGGGTCGAGTGAAATAGACCACACATGTATGATTAGTTGGTTTTTGACTCAGGCGACAAGTCAACTCAATGGGAAAAGGCTAATTTCAACAGTGGTGCCAGAACAATTGGACATCCATATGCAAACTATGAAACTTGACCAATTCCTCATATCATATACACAGATTAACTCTATAAATCATAGGCATAAATATCACAGTTAAAACTTACAAGAAGTATGGGAGAAAATCTTTGTCATTGTGCTTTGTGCAAAGTTTTCCATAAATAGCAAAGCACAGTCCATAAAGGAAAAAGACTGATAAATTGGACTTGGTCAAAATTTGAAATTTCCATTTGAAAGACATTGTTAAGAGGATGAAAAGAGAAGCCCCATACTGGGAGAAAATACTGGCTAAATTCATATCTGATAATGGACTAGTATCCAGACAGCTTTGAACACAGTAACAAGAAAAAATGGCTGTAGATATGAACAGATACTTCACCAAAAAAAATATATAGATTTCAGTGAGTCTATAGAAAGGTACTAGTATCATTTGGCATTATTAGTTATTCAGGAAAAGCAAACTTAAATCAAAATGAGATACCACTATAGACCTTATTATAATCCTTTATAAAAGCAACAAGGTATTGACTCTTAACAAAGATTTGGAACAGTTGCAATTCTTATATATTACTGATGAGAATTCAAAGTGGTAGTGCCACTTTGGAAAAAATTTGATAGTTTCTTACACAGTTTAGCATGCACTGACTCTTTGATCTGGTGTTCTCAGACATACCCACGAGAAATGGAAACTTAGATTCACAGAAAAATCTGTCCAGAGATTTATATAGTAGCTTTATTCATAGTTGTCAAAACTGTTATTTTCATTGAAGCGACAGGTTTATTATTGATCAGATTTTTTGCTCTTATTCAAATCTGAATAACCATAGGTTGTCAGTCATTCATGCAAGTAAAACATGTGTGCAAAGGATATACCTCCCGTTCTGTCACACAGAATTTCTAAAAAACAGATACTCAAGTCCAAATTTAATAACATTAATAAATCTTTGCTGTTTCATCATGGACATTTTAAAAATAGATTTAAAAAAAAAATGACTGTGGCAGCAGGAATGCCATGACCACTCACAGCACTGGATGGTGCCACTTCCTTGATCCAGGCCGCCAGCTTTACCCACCGTCACATTTTCCTGTCACTGTACCAGTAAAGACAGTGGGGAAAAGCCTGAAAAATGTCTTGGTATTAATATGAAAAAATGTCCTTGAAGCCTCCCTGAAAAGATCTAAGGACTATGAGAGGTTTACAGAAGACTTTGAGAAGTCTGTGTTATAAGTTTAGTATTCATATCTGATTTCATATATTTGTTCCCTGTAAAATTACTTTTCAAAAGTGAAGTTATAATTGTAAGACAATATTCTGATCTCAATATTTTTATTCTGCAGTTCCAATACCCTCCACCAGGTGGCATCATACCTCTGCTTGTTACCAACCCTTCCTAAAGCTGAAGACACGACTTTTGATAAAGGATTTCTTCTAGAATTGTTGGTAAATATTAGTGTTCCTTGAATTATGCATGTTTTTCCTACTTTTTTGAATCATTCTTAAAGATATAGGTTGGTAGAGATATTTTTTTCTGGGCTAAAAAATTGGTAGATTCTCTTACCTGGTTTGGATCATATCAGCATTTGATTTTGTCAGATTTCTTTTTAATCTCTTAGATTACTTTTTTCAAGTCTCTTACCTCTTAAAACTGCTTTCTGGAGTGGATTCATTCCATGCAGACATTTGTGAGCAACATCTGTGTCAAGCACCGGATTAAAGACTCTGGGGATACAGAGATGACCGACAGCATTTCTGCCTTTAAGTGATCACAGTTACATTCACACACACACATACATGGATAATACACATATATATTCATATAATTTATCTGTTTATTTTTCATTTCATTACTTAGATATAGCACCTTGAATATTAAACCATACCTTTATCACTAGAGAATTCATGAATGTTTAGAAATGGAGAAAATTATCACTTCCTCAGTTATTTTGGGAAATGAGTCTTAGTTTGAGCATTAACTCAAGCTTTTTGTGAAGTTTTATTTTTTTTTTTAGTGCAGTTTTAGGTTCACAGCAAATTTGAAGGAAATGGATATACCTTACTTTTTAAACTTCCATAAGATATTTCCAAAAGAGGATAATTATTTAACCATATCCTACCATGAGTATCTAGGTTGTTTGCAATGTTCACTCTTACAAATAATAATGCAGTCCTAATACAGGCCTCTTTGTGCTCAGATGTGGACCTTTAGGAGAGGTATCTAGAAGTGACATTATTTGATTGAAGCGTGTGCTTATTTAGAAGGTAAAAGATGCAGCCTGACTGTCCTTCAGAAGCTGTATGTTCCCATCAACAGTGTGTTAAAGTCTGTCTCCTTCAGCTCTTTTCAGCATTGGGTATTATGAGTGTCCCAGTTTTGCCAGTCTCATGGGTTTTTTTTTTTAAAAAGCTTGTTTTAATTCTTTGTTTCCTGATTACTATAAGATTGGGTTGTCTTTTGTATGTTTCAAACATGTTTTTATACCTGTATAAACTTACACTGCATGGAGGTGTGTTGTACATATCTTTTTTTTTACACATAATAATAGGCAAATGGCTTTGAGATGTATTTCAAGTTAATATAAGGTTTAAAACACAGTTCCTAACTGTAAAGAGGAAGATGATATGCTTGTTTTTGGGTAGTAACAGGAAACTATTTGTAGCAGGTGTTTTAAGCCTGGTGGCAGGTGTTTAATGCCATTTGGAGAGAAATTCTTGGGAAGGGTTTTAAATTAACCAAGTATGGAGAATACTTTTTATCCATATATTCACTTGGATGAATTGTGTGTCTTGGGTCACTTTCTTTGCCTTCCTCCTAAAAGTCACTTTTCATTGTCTCTGACTGAAAGTGCTTTCTAAAAATTCCTTGTCCTATTTTCTGACAATGTAAAATCTTCTCTGGTAAGTCAGGTTTTGGAGATTAATAATAAATCCTTACTATAGAAAGAAATGAGGATTTTTCCTGGACCTTTCTAATGGAAAATTGGTTTGAGTATAAAATTGATCCTGTCTATGCTTTTTAGGGTCTTACAGCTAAAATTTCATCCTTAAAATTTAAATAGTTACGTGAAAAGAAAACAGTTTTAAAAATTTATAGTGCTATATCATTATCTTTCATTTTCTCCCTCTCTTAAAACATTTTCACAGGCTTTGAATTCTGCTAATATCCAACCAAATTATAATTAAAAAGTAAGGATATGCATATTCTTTACATGATAGCATGGTATCTTCTTTTCTACAACAATAATATCTTTACTGAAAAGAATGTGACAGGTTTTTCAAATATTATTTTAGCATCTCTTAACTAGGTTACAAACTTATTTCTATATTTGAGATAGATCTCTAAAATACTAACAATGGAGGGGTACATAGAGGTCATTAAGTCCAGCTCTCTCTCATTTTACAAATACTGAAGCCAAGTTATTAATAAACTTACCCAGATTGTTTAACCAGTTAGTACAAGAATGAAAACCATAGCCTAGAACTTAGGGCTCCCATTTTGTTCTTGTATTAATGAGTGCTGTATGCTATAGCATTATCTTTTTTAAGGTCTCAGCATGTGCCAAGCTCTTTGACACTGTTTTACAGGATTCCATTTCATTTTTATAGGAAACCTAAGAGGGGAGTTAATCTGTTTTATTGAAAAGGAAATTAAAATCAGGGAGTTTGCAGTAACTTGCCCAGCATCTACATAGCCCGTAAGTAGAGGTGCTGGGAGTTAAACTCAGATCTGTTGAATTCCAAAGTTCATCATAATCAGTACCTCTTTCATATTTGATTTGTGGAGAACATGGAAAAAGGAAAAAACATCTCTTGTTAAGTTTTATGAAAATTGTGAAACTTCTCATTCCATACATCATGGTGAATTTTTTAATAAGTTATTTTGATTAAAAAAAGATGTTTCTGACTTTGATCCTAAACTTGATTCTTTTAGGTATCTCGTCATGAGCGTCGAATTTCTCAGATTCAGCAGTTGAACCAGATGCCTTTGTATCCAACTGAGAAGATCATATGGGATGAAAATATTGTCCCAACTGAATACTATTCTGGGGAAGGTATGATAATGAAGTACAGCATTTAGATGTAACGTGAAAGTTAGTGTGGAAGTCATCATATGTACCTGAACATACTTCTATTTGCTGTATCAGTCAGTTCAGTTCAGTTGCTCAGTCGTGTCCGACTCTTTGCAACCCCATGGACTGCAGCACGTCAGGCCTCCCTGTCCGTCACCAGCTCCCGGAGTTTACTCAAACTCATGTCCATTGAGTCGGTGATGCCATCCAACCATCTCATCCTCTGTCATCCCCTTCTCCCGCCTTCAGTCTTTCCCAGCATCAGGATCTTTTCAAATGGGTCAGTTCTTTGCATTAGATGACCAAAGTATTGGAGTTTCAGCTTCAGCTGAATATGAATGAATTCCAGTGAATATTCAGGACTGATTTTCTTTAGGATGGACTGGTTGGATCTTCTTGCAGTCCAAGGGACTCTCAAGAGTCTTCTCCAACACCACAGTTCAAAAGCATCAATTCTTTGGTGCTCAGCTTTCTTTATAGTCCAACTCTCACATCCATACATGACTACTGGAAAAACCATAGCTTTGACCAAACGGACTATTTGACTATTACTTTGTTGGCAAAGTAATATCTCTGCATTTTAATATGCTGTCTAGGTTGGTCATAATTTTTCTTCCAAAGAACAAGCATCTTTTAATTTCAGGGCTGCAGTCACCATCTGTGATGATTTTGGAGCTCAAAAAAATAAAGTCTGTCACTGTTTCCACTATTTCCCCACCTATTTGCCATGAAGTGATGGGACCAGATGCCATGATCTTCATTTTGTAAATGTTGAGTTTTAAGCCAGCTTTTTCACTCTCTTCTTTGACTTTCATCAAGAGGCTCTTTAGTTCTTTCTCGCTTTCTGCCATAAGGGTGGTGCCATCTGCATACCTGAGGTTATTGATATTTCTCTCAGCAATCTTGATTCCAGCCTGTGCTTCATCCAGCACAGCGTTTCTCATGATTTACTCTTCATACATTAGGGTAATTTTCTGGTACCCTCAGGTGCAACTGTAGAAGCTAGAAACTATTCAGTGTTTTGAATGCTTAGCATTAAGAATTTTTATTAAACTTAAGCGTTCCCTAATGAATAGTGGTGTGTGTGTGTGTGTGTGTGTGTGCGCGCGTGTGCGCATGTGTGCGCGCGCGCACATCATGCTATATAAAATGTGCCCATAAAGCTGTGTTTTAAGGAGACCTAATAATGCTATAGATGTAACGTTAGTTATGTCACTGGAAATGTATTTTGGGGTTCTTCTTTTTTGACCTTTTGATGTAGGTGCTGGGTGCTTGGTTATTTATTATCCAAGGTAAATAGTGTTACATGAGGGTAATAGAAAGAATATTATTCACTAATATTGTCAGAGAAGGGAAAGAACTTCAGGAATAACATAAAGTCAATGCCTTATCCTTAAAGTCTATCAGAAAGGCAAAGGTTCAGAGCACAGTGGTGATCACTGAAGATAGAGTTATGTAACATAATATGCTAATTCAGTTTCCTTGGTAAATTTGGTCATGGGCTGTGTTTATAGTAGCATTATTTACTTTGAGATTTGCCAAATGTAAATTAGGTGGTAAGGAAAGAATTTTTTAGAACCCTTGTGTCAGTTCTTTTAAGTATCTTTAAGCACTATTTAGAAGCACTGTTTGCATATGAGTCATAGATGTACAGATTACGTGTATTAATGAAATTCATCCTTTATTCCCAATCTTAATATATGGCATTTGTTAACTTGGTTTCAGTTTCTGTATGGAAACAAAAATAAGACCTTTTCCAATATGCTGTATTTTAAACACTGTTAAATTAGGTTCTTAACAAATTTGTGGTGCCTTTTTTATATATATATATATAAAGCAGATGTCTGATTAAGAAAAAAAAAAATTCAGTATTGATGTTATTTTCCTTTTCAGGTTGTCTTGCTCTTCCCAAGTTGAATTTGCAGTTTTTGACTCTTCATGACTACCTTCTAAGGAACTTCAATCTCTTCCGCCTAGAATCAACGTATGAAATTAGGCAGGACATCGAGGATAGTGTCAGCAGAATGAAGCCATGGTTAGTAAATTGGTTCCACTCGCAACAAAGAGATGCAAACAGTGGCTGACATACTTCTGTCAGAAACCTCACACGTATTTAGAAATAATACATCTGGCGTGAAGATGTACTTTAAAATATGAAATATTTACTCTTTGAGAAATTCTTCAATGTGAATTAGATATATCCAAAATACTAAAATAGAAAATAAGTTTCTGGGTACTTGGGAGTGAGACTGAGGGAAAAGCAGGAGAGATCATTGCTCTGGGAGGTGGGGTGGGAGTGGGAATAAGTCGGGCGATAGTTAAAGGGTAAAGAGGGAAGGGGATGGGCTGGCCAGCAGGCGTGCACTCGGCAGGGCAGTTTACGTCCTGGGAGAAGCTTATGATAAAGGGGTGTTCTGTTACCCCAACTGCTCTTGCGGCTGTCAGCACTAGTCTCGGTCAGCCTCTCTAAAGGACCTGGCAGGAGATGAGGGGCATAGCTGAACTTTGCAGAGAGTGCAATATTAGAAGATCTTCCCTGGCCCTCCCTCCATAGGTTGTCTTAAAGAGACGGAATCGTCAGCCCGCACTTTTAGGGCCTGTTGAGTAGGTTCCGTTATTTGAGGAACTTTTCTGCCCCAAACTCGACTTTCCACCTGCTAGCTTCCGTCTGGAACTCCTTTAGCTAAGAAAAGCCTTTCATTCTGTTGTAGGCAGTTCTGCATTATAAGACCTGTGAAGATTAGTTTTGCTTTTCAGACTTGACTGACTTTGGGTAAATGATCTTCATTCACTGTTTCATTTGAAGTATGAAATTATTACTGGTGATAAGTTACATATCACAAATGACTGAAAATGAGTAAATGAATTCTGTAAAATGAATTTTCATCACATTAGTGTCATACCATGCAGACATATATATAATTATACTGCATTCTTTGTGAAAAGCTTAATGTGTTTTAAATGTGAACTGATTCAGGTATCCCAGGCCTCTCTCCTGACTAATTACAGAGAGCTGCATGGATTCTGTGATTATGATCCATTTTTTTTTCACTTCCATATTTTATTTCCTACACAGTTCTATTTTTTAATTAATTATTATGTGGAAAGTTATTCTGGGTGAGACTATAAAACACAGCATAAAATATTTTGACTTAATAATCAGTTGAGTCAGTGGGCAGGCCAGCACTGTGAAATTTGTATACCCTCTGGCTGATCATCTCTGCCCACAGCTTTGCTGAAATTACTGCCCATTGTTTGGACCCTGGGGGAGTGCTTGATCAGAAAGCTGCCTTACAATTTATGGCTACCTTGCACTTAATATGTTCAGATTCTGGACCAAATTTTGATCATTTTGCAAAATAGGGACTTCATAGCTAGCAGTTCATCAAGTAGAATGCACTTACACTTTACTTAAATGCCAAATAAAGCAATAATACTTAGAGTTCTTATGGTCTATTAGTAAAGTAATTTTTTTAGCTTACATTATTTTCTGTGAGTAGAACATATGTCTTTTTGGAGATAACTTCTGATAATACGTTTTTCTAAATTTTGAAAAATTTATTTTTCTGCCCATCATTGAAAACTGTTAAAACTAATGAGATCTAAAAGGGTGGGTCTTCTTTCTGTTTCATGTCTTGAAGGAGGAAAATTAGAGGCATTTTTACTCATTTCACAGTTCTAATCATCTTTTCAGCCTGTTGAAACTACTGAGCAGTATAAGAGGATGTGCTTGTGAGGGTCAGAAGTCTGTACTTTTTTAATACCTCATGTTGCAGGTAGATTTTATAAAGAGGGAAGGAACTGGAGAGAGTAGATTAGTGGTTGCTTGGGAGTAGGAACAGGATTGACTGCAAGTGGGTGAGGGGTATCTTTTAAAGCATGATGAAAATGTTCTATAATTGGATTGTGGTGATGGATGAACAACTTTATAAATCTACTGAAAATTACTGAATTACACATTTACAATGAATGAATTTTATGGTCTATCAGCTATATTAAAGTAAAGTTGTAAAGAATAGAGAAGGTGATAGAAAATTATTACAGAAGCTTTATGTTCAAGGTAATGCCTTTTTAGGGGGCTTTCTTGGTGGCTCAGATGGTAAAGAATCTGCCTAAAATGCAGGAGACCCAGGTTCAGTTCCTGAGTCTGAAAGATCCCCTGGAGAAGGGAATGGCAGTCCGCTCTGACATTCTTGCCTGGAGAATTCCACAGACAGGAGCCTGGAGGGCTAGTCCATGAGAGCGCCAAGTAGAACATGCCTGAGCAACTAACACACACACACACATTGCGTTTTAGAAATTGTGTCAGTACTAACCAAGTCATTGGAGTAGCAAACTTTATTTTTAATTAGTTTCACTCTTTGATGTCATGTAGTTTTGCAATTTTTTGTTATTTACAAAAGCCTTAGGATATTGATTTTCTTTGTCTTGGTAAGCATGTTTTTAGGCAGTACTTTCCAATTTTGGAGTGTTGCTGCAGTTTTTAATATTACAAAGTTCCCAAATACACTGTTTAATGTAAGAGCTAAAGCACTAATATAAGAAGAAATAATGAGTATTTACATGTTAGTGGTTCTCGTTATTAGACCTAGCTTGATTATTCCCCACACTCCCATTCATGGCAGTATCTTTTCAATATCTTAAATATTGTCCCCTAAAGAAATCATTTGCATAGATATCATTTGCTTATCTTTAGTTTTTTTAAGTCTAATTTGTTCTAAAGCATTTTGAAACACCTTTTAGAAACATCCCCTGATGGCTCAGATGGTTAAGAATCTGCCTACAGTGCGAGAGACCTGGGTTCAATCCCTGGATCAGGAAGATCCCTTAGAGAAGGAAATGGCTACCCATTCCAGTACTCTTGCCTGGAGAATTCCATAGACAGAGGAGCCTGGCAGGCTATAGTCCATGGGATCACAAAGAGTTGGATACAACTGAGCAACTATCTATAGAGGGAGAAAGGGCAAAATATAAAACTGAATGCTGGATAATTTTATTCTTTAACAAAATGGCTCAGCTCTTACATATATAAATTACATGTTTTTCTTAAGATTTCCATATTATTGTTAGGGCTCAAATACTAGCTAAACATGTAATTTTAGTTACTAGTTTAACTTGTCCGAAAGTTGGGCAAAGTTATTTCTTGTTTGAGTAATCATCTGCTTCTGCTTTTTAGGCAATCAGAGTATGGCGGTGTAGTGTTTGGTGGCTGGGCACGAATGGCCCAACCCATTGTGGCATTCACAGTGGTTGAGGTTGCTAAACCCAACATAGGTGAAAACTGGCCAACCCGAGTTCGTGCGGATGTTACCATCAATCTGAATGTCAGAGATCACATCAAAGATGAATGGGAAGGTAATTCTGTATTTCAAGAAGTGGTTACCTCTTGTCTTTTACTTTATAGACTTTTGCTTAGAGCATTAGCAAGAACACATATACTAACTATTGCCCTTTTAAGTGTACTAAATTTTATCTTTAAAGTTTGGCTTAAAAAATGGCAATTGATTTATAATTATTACTAGTAAAAACACCAAGGATCATACAGAATAGTAATTAAATAACCTTAATACTTTACTAAAAAGCATAAAATAGCATGCATACAAGAGTGTTTTAAAAATTGCAGTTGGCAGAGCTGAGAGGAGAGCATTTTAAATGTTAAAATGTGTCAGAAATGGCTTGTAAACTGATTTAAATTGGCATTTTTCTATTCCCAGCTGTCTGTGACAGCTCTCACTACCCTGTTATGAGAAACCGGAGCTGGTGGGCTTTATCGCCTTCTACCTTTGTGGCGTGCCAGAAAGAAAGGGATAGTCCCTTAATGGATCAGTTTAAAGAAATTACTGCTCTCGATACAGCTGTTTGTAACTTCAGGGACTGCATGATACATTTGTCAAGTAATTTTGAAGGAATCCAGCAACAGAGCTTGCCAGATGTTTAACAAATGGCCACAGTAGTGGGTAGAGTTTGTGACAGATTGTTTTTATGACTCCTGTATCCCTCAAAACTGTTCCAATCTGGCACATTTCACATCTAAAATAATGTATACTTTTGTTATTGCTGAACTGTGAGAGAGCAATCAAGTGCCGAAGAAAGTCCTAAAATTAATCCCCCTAAAACCTGAAGAAGGAATAAAAAAAAAAACGGTTTAAAAAAGAGGGAAAGAAACGAAAGAAACTAATGGCCAACCCCAAAAAGAACAAGGAAAACCGGAAAAAAAAACTGGGGGGGAAACAAAGACCCTTTGTAGAGATATATAGACAAGCTCTCATTATGATGTTAAAGGGGAACGGGGTTCTTTACCCCAAACCCCTTGGGAACCGCTTACTTCCATTACTTTGGAGACTGCTAATCAGAAGGCCATCAAGTCATCTTATTTTTTTTTTTTTAATGGACCTCTGGCAGATGAGAAATAGAATGGGTAAATTTTGATGGGCAAGATAGGAAACAATAGGCTATTGTGGGATGAGTGATTTATTTGTGGGATGAGTGATTTATTTGGGGCAGTGGTCCCCAGTCTTTTTGGCACCAGAGACAGGTTTCGTGGAAAACAGTATTCCCTGAATGGTAGTAGGGGGATGGTTTGGGGATGATTCAAGCGCGTAACATTTATTGTGTACTTTTTTTCTATTATTATTACACTCTGGTATATAGTGAAATAATTATATGACTCACCATAATGCAGAATCAGATCATCAGGCATTAGATTCTCGTAAGGAGCATTCACCATAGTGAGGTTCACAGTCCTATGAGAGTCTAATGCTGATCTGGCAGGAGGCGGAGCTCAGGTGGTGCCTGGGAGATGGGACCCCAATAGGGGCATGGTGGGTAGAAGAGTATTTTCTGGGAAGCCAGAGCCAAAATGCAGGCCCTTTATTGGTTCCAGATAGAGCAACCAAATAAAAAATGAGAGAGAAGTTCTGTAAACAGTAATGAGCATTGTCCTATAAAAAAACAAAAGTTTTGCGGAAATGAAGCTAAATACTATAAAAGATCGTTGTCTCTTCAAGAAAGTATGAAGCTCAGGTCATTCTCTTCTCCGTTACCCCATTTAAAATACAGAAACAGAATTAATGAAACTGAAATATCTAGAAGACAGGGCCAGGATGGAGTAAATGCAAATGGTTGAAAGAGTTGAGATTATTGTAATACAAGTATTTTTAATGTGGACTGAGACATCCCACATGGTCCCTCTGTGAAGCAAAAAAGTGACATTGGTAGAGACAAAATTACTTCTCAGGCCCAGCTGTTTGACTCGAAGACTTGGAGGTTTCAATGAGTTGTGTGCATCAAAAGTTATATAGGCAGTGCAACTCACATAGTAGATCATTTCCCCTTTGTTTTCATTGTTCTCCTGCTTCATTGCCTAGAATTTGTTGGGAAATAAGCAATCAATTCATTATTATGAGTCAGTTATTATTTCTAGCACACTTGAACCGTATTCCATATTGAAGCCACCAGAATGGTGCTAATAGTGTTAGCCACACTCACATTTGCTGATGTGATTGAGTTGTTTATCTTGTTACCAAGGTTATGAGCAAGCAAAATGTTTATGTTTGCATTCATACTATACAATAACTAATAAAAAATGAATGAGAAAAAAAATGACATGTAGCATTACATGCTGTGTGGTCTAAATAAAAATCCCTCATCTTCCAGTATGTTTGCTTTTAATAGAGTTGGGACTCTTATTTAAAATCCATTATTTGAGCTAATGAATGGGAAACTACGGACTTTGGCACAAGTCGCCTGTTTCTTGACATTTGCTTATGAAAATTTCAGTATTTGCCAACTGAAGCAACATATATTTGGCTGTCTCCTCAAGATGCTGTCTGTAAACAGTGCTTTCATGCCTTGATGAATTATTCTAGGGTTGACCTATTCTGGTGAAATGCAGTTAGACCATTGTTGAAATGACACTGATGGATAGTTTTAAACTGATGTTATAAACCTGCTAAATATGATATAGATACCAGCCATATTTTTGTTTACTTATTAAGAATGTTAGAAATAAGAAAGAAGAACTCCATCTAATTTTGGAGTTGTAACATGATCTAGAGGACTTATCCAGTAATGTATATATGGCATAAATTTTCTCATTTTAATATAAAGAGAAACTTTTATTTAATTATTGCTGTCAAACATTGAGTATTAAAGGTATAGGAAATTATAATTATGTTACAAAGTAAATATAATCATTGATCATCTCTGCTATTTTAAATGTTTTTTATATCTTTTCCAAAGATAAAAGGAAGAGAATTTACCAATGGAAGACAGAAAGCAGCAGCATTCTAATAAGTGAAAATGTGTTTGATGTTTTACTAGGCCTTCGGAAGCATGATGTATGCTTTTTAATTACTGTGCGTCCCACAAAACCTTATGGCACCAAGTTTGACCGAAGAAGACCTTTTATTGAGCAGGTTGGCCTAGTTTACGTCAGAGGCTGTGAAATCCAGGGCATGCTAGATGATAAAGGGCGTGTCATTGAAGACGGTATGAGGATTTTTATTTTTGAAAGTGTATGTGTACATAATGATAAATTTCTTTGCCTTTTTGCATCCTAGGTAATTTTTTAGTTGTTTTATATACTAAATCAGCACAAAGGATTATATATATAGAAATGTGTAGGGTACCTACCACCCAGTTTTAGAGATAAATAATATGGTTTCTGGACTTCTGTATTACATTTTGGGCAGGCTCTTTTGAAATTGCCTATATTTAAAACTCTTCCTTTTATGATACTTTATTGCTTTTAAAAACCTCTGAATACCTCCTATAGTTGTTCACTGATATATTTTCTTAATTTTTCCTTTTTAAGTTTCACTGATCTGATTCATGATAGCACTGGCTCATAAATGGAAACAACACTGTCCTGTGATTTAAAATACATGGTGGTATCTATGATATCATATGACTGGGGTAGGGAGGCAATGGTCAGCTATTAATGTTTGATGGATGGGGCCAGGGATGTTAAGTACCTAAGCAGAACTGTCTTCTAGAAGGAATTATCTTGCCCAAGATGCCAGCATAACCCTATTTAGAAACATCTCCTTGGGGATTCCTTGGTGGCTCAGTCAGTAAAAAATCTGCTTGCAGTGGAGGAAACCCAGATTCAATCACTGGGTCAGGAAGATTCCCTGGAGAAGGAAATGGCAACCCACTCCCATATTCTTGCCTGCAAGAGGAGCCTCACGGGCTACAGTCCACGGGGTCGCAAGAAGAGTTGGACACAGCTGAGGCAACTAACATATTCACACACACACAGAAGGAGCTATGAGTAACTGACTCAAGTAAAGTTCTTTGGCTTGTAAGGTGCCTATTCTAGTTGAGGGCATCAACATCACAGGATTGTTCTGGGAAGAAATAGTAACAATTTAGAGAAAGGAGAAAATCCTTTCAGCTTGGAATTTGAAATGGATGAGTGGAAGTCATTCTAGTTGGAGGAATGGCTTGCAGTTAAGTCTGAATACTTTACTCATCATTTCTAGAAAAGGAATACTGCTAACTTACTTTGATATTTGAAATGTATATATTTCATTTAACAAACTTTAAAAAAAAATGTCTAGGACCTGAACCCAGACCCAGTCTTAGAGGAGAATCAAGGACTTTTAGAGTGTTTTTGGATCCAAATCAGTATCAACAAGATATGACCAATACTATACAAAATGGAGCAGAAGATGTGTATGAAACTTTCAATGTAATAATGAGAAGAAAACCAAAGGAAAATAACTTTAAGGTAACTTGTGGGCTATATAATTAAAAGTACTGTGTCTTCATTTGAATAACTTTTAAGACATAACTACACAGATACTAGGTTTAAAAAGATTTAAAATCATGATCACTGCTTTTGTTTTGATTTTAAACAGATCTCTTAAATTCTTAACTTATAGATTAAATCTGAAATAAATTTATTTGCTAAATCTTATTTTGTCTTTTGATGAGACTAAGAATTTTAGGTAGAGGTTAGTGCAAGAAAATAAGTGTGATTAACATACACTATCTTGTTATTTCATTATCTTGTTGGATGTATAGCATTTATAATATAAAAATATCTTTTTTTATTCTTTGAAATTAATTGCCTTACCTTCTGATTTTCATATGTTGCATAGATCACTTTGTTGAAATAATTATTGGAAAGTCTAAGAATCTGCCTTGACTTTTAGTAATTACTTTTGACTATGTATTAACTATTACAGGGACCTCTTATTGTAGTCCTAATTGTTTCATTCTGAAATTTAGACATTTCATTTTTATCATTGTTCATTTATTTTTTATTTCTTACCTCTAGCAGTGCTAATTTTAGTATTTCTCAATTGTGGTGTGTTTCACCATCAAGGCGTACATTAATGTGCTTCTGGTTGTGTGTGGTCTCAGTAATGAGGAACTATAGGCTATAAGATAGAGGAAACGCCAGGAATTTCTAAGAGGAAACATTTTTTTTCAAGGGTTTGTTCTATAATGTTTTCTTGCTATTGTGTAGAACTGATCAGATTTTCATCCTACTCAACAGAAGTCAAGCGATAAACTCATCTATGACATTCTGTCTAAATGATCTCCTAATGGATAAACTGTTCTTGCTAAGTTTGGTCTTTTGTTTAACTCAGTGTATGGTATCAGCTGGAAATATAGCTGTTGATTCAGTCTAGCCGAGCACCTGTCAGCAGAAAATAGCTTCTTGCCTTGAAACACTTGGGAATTCTGGAGTAGTGCAGCCAGCTCTACATTCCACTGAAGTGCAGATGTTTGAGATGTCTTGACAGATCTGTTTTTGTCCTCTTGACAGGCTGTGCTGGAGACGATCCGGAACCTGATGAACACTGACTGTGTGGTCCCTGACTGGCTGCACGACATCATTTTGGGTTACGGGGATCCCAGTAGTGCACATTATTCCAAAATGCCCAATCAGATTGCCACCCTTGATTTCAATGATACATTTCTCTCCATTGAACATTTAAAAACCAGCTTTCCTGGTCATAATGTTAAAGTAACTGTGGATGACCCAGCTCTCCAGATACCCCCCTTCAGGTAAAGTCAAAACTGGATACACTCCTATCCAAGCTTTCTGTAGTCATTCTGAGTGAGACCATCAGGACTATAGCTAAAGTAAGTTTTAAGTATCATATCTAGATTTTGTTTGGGTAGTTTTTAACCTTCCCCATATAATCACTGGGATAAATTTATTTTATTTGACTCTATTTCTAATTCTTTGTGTAGTAGCTATTTTAAGACCACAGTAAAAGTAGTCTTTGTCTTACAAGCGATCAGTTTGAAGAGTATTATATTGATATATTTGTAGCATTTGACTGAAGAAATAAGTCCTAATTAATATAAAGAGTCATGTGATTTTGAACTCTTGCTTTTTAGGAAAAAATTCTTTTTTTCTTTTAACCCTATTTGTTTTCACAATTTTAAATATTAATAATATTGTTATACTCAGAATTAAAGGAGCTTTGGATTAGTTTAAGTAAAAAAAAAAGAACAGTTTGTGAAGTACTGAGTGCTTCATGAATTCCATCATATGAGCTAGTGGCAAAGCACTCGGTATACCTGGGATGTTAGCAAAGGACTTAATCACTTTCTTAGTTGCAAATTAGAACATATAGGTTTTAATTAACCATTAAAAATAAATATAATAATTATACATATTAAAAACATGTACCCTTTTAAATTCTCAAACCAAGTCTTCCTCCATAGTTCCCTAATCTCTAAACCCTCAGCACTTTCAGTCTTTGTAATGGTAGGGTCTTTCCTGCCTCTTGTCGCCTTTCTTAAATCCATTATATGATGCCTACTGCCAGAGTCATTCCATTGTCTGACTAGAAACTGACCTCTTAGCTTCTTTGGTTCTTAGCTTTTTTTAATGTTTTTTCAGAATGTGAACAAAGACTGGAAAAAGTACAAATAGAGAATTAATTTTTTAGTTTAATCTCAAGAGTTTTCATTGACTTTCCACCAGGTACCTATGGGGAGTTGTTTCCTGGGATATTCTTGACCCCAGGCTAAGAACTTCTGCCTTAAAGGTTTGATATTCCAGAGGTGTCATAACAAGGTGCCAGTCTTTCTCTCTAGCCTTATTTTCTCTACTGAATCCTACACTTCTGTAGAACTGGCTATTTGTTTCTTCCTGGAATGTCTTTTGAAATTTATTTTAGATACTATCTTTCCCATAAAGCCTTTTCTGATTAAATGAAGGTCAATGTGTAAAGCACTTTACAGCAAATATGCTGTAGGTATGTAAATTTTCTTTTATAAACATTATGCTAAGTGAAAGAAGCTAGACAGAAGAGAACAAATACTATATGATTCCATTTACACAAAATGACCAGAATAGTCTGATATAAAGACAGAAAGTAGACTGATTGACAGAGGCTAGGTTTGAGTTGGAATACAGAGTGACTGCTTAATTGACATGGAGTTTCCTTTGCATGATGAAAATATTCTGGCATTAGAGAGTAGTGATGTGATGACTGTACAACATTGTGAATGTACTAAAACCCATTGAATTGAACCTTTTAAAAGGTGACTTTTATATGAATATTATCCCAGTTAAAAAAACGTTATTTCCTATAGAAAAAAAAAATTAGATAAATGTTTCTTCTTTGATTCTCCCTTAATCAGATGGCTTTTTCTTAGTCTAAATACCCTTAACCACATTTCAGTGCTTTTAAATCTACTTTTTTGAAATTTATATGCAGAGAGAGTTCCTTTAAAACCATAAATGATTCTTGCTTATGATTGTCCTCTGTACAATGTCATGAATGAGACAGGTATTGGCAAATTGTTGTTAATTGTGAAAATAAACAAAGGTTTTGGTCTTGTAGGATTACTTTTCCAGTAAGAAGTGGAAAGGGGAAGAAGAGGAAAGATGTTGATGGGGAAGATGAAGACACGGAGGAGGCAAAAACTTTGATTGTCGAACCTCATGTTATTCCTAATAGAGGCCCTTATCCTTACAACCAACCCAAACGGTAGTTTCACTGCCTCTGCTAATTATAGTATTAGATAATAGTTTGCTATTTCACATGGATTAGTAGTATTTGAAAGTTTTTCTGATTCTTTGAAAATTTTAAGAAACTTCTGATTCTGGACCCTCTTTACTTTTCTTCTGTTAGTTGACTCAGTAGTTCAGACATTTTTTACCATTGTGTGATAATATTTCAAAAAGAAACATTTTCAGCTACTATGGAAAAGAAATATTAGCAGTCTTCCTGAATGTGACCACAGGTTCTTACTTCATGACCATGTGTTACATTTAGCAGCTACCCTTGTAGCTGCTACTCGTGTGTGTCATGAGTAATAAAGTGGCATTGTGTTGATAGTAGATGGGGAACCAGTACTTTGACACTACAGATAAGATCTGGGCTAACCATATTGAAAAATAACTGTAGTCTTTTTTTTCCACAAGATTCATTCAGTTTTAATTGGTCTGGGGAGGGGCAGAGGTAAAGAAAGTCTTTCAGAATAGACTGGGTCAGTCACGTGATCTGCTTGTGCTTGTAGTTAGCAATGTTGTACTGTACATTTAAAATGTTTTAAAAGAGTATGTCTTTATGTACTTTCTGCTGCACACGCATAGCCACAAAAAGGGGTCAGATGGGAGGAAGAAGAGATTGGGAGACCAGGGACAAATACAGAGCAAATGTTCAGACATCTCGTTGTCTAAATTCTTATTAGCATCATCCACCTTTATGTTTAACCAGTTTCTTATCAACTCTTATTTGCAGGAATACAATTCAGTTCACTCATACACAGATAGAGGCCATCCGTGCTGGAATGCAGCCTGGGCTAACTATGGTAAGAGAATTACTGTTCTACTAGTTCTTGAAATGGATTCAGACTAGAAGTAAGCATCAGATTTTCAGAGTATATTCCATTTTTAAGCACAGAAACCCAGTTGAATTAAGTGTGTATAAGTAATTGTGGCATCTTATGTCATGGATACTACTCATTTCAATGTTCATAAAAGATGTTTCGTTAGAACCGAGCTATGGCCGTTCATGTACTGCCATTTTTATGCTGCCACAATGCATAAAGTGTTTATTTGCTGGCCATTAGCAGAAAAGTTCTGTTGACACTGATTTAGAAGTGTGTTTAATTTCCAGTTATTTGGAGATTTTCTTGTTGTCTTCTAGTTACTGGTTTCCTGTTCTAAGTCTATTATGGTCAGAGAACATATTGAATACTTTCTAATTTTTTTCAACTTATTAAGGTTTGTTTTATGGCCCAGGACATGACCTGTTGGTGAATATTCCATGTGCACTTGAATATATGCTCTGTTGCCTTGAGTGGAGTGTCCTATGTACGCCATTTGGTTGTTGCTATTGTTCACTACTTCTCTTCCTTGAGAGAAGATTGTTGAAGTCTCCAGCTGCAATTGTGAATTTGCTTCTCCCTTCAGTTCTATCAGTTTTTGCTTCATGTGTCTTAAAGTGTTATGGAGATGTACGTACCCTTTCAGGGTTGTTGTGTCTTACTGGTGAATTGATGCTTTTGTCATGTGTAATGTCTGTCTTCATCACTGGTAACTTTCTTTGCTCTAAAGCCTACTTTGATATTAATATAGCCAATGCAATTTTCTTTTGATTAGTGTTTGCGTGACACATCTTTTACTGTCCTTTCACTTCTAACCTACCTGTTACATTTGAAGTGAGTTTCTTGTAGACAGCATATGTTTGGGCATGGTGTTTTCCCTCTTTTCTGAAGTCTCTGCTTTTAATTGGTGTGTTCAGTCCGTTTACATTTAATGTTCTCATTGATGTGTGTGGATTTAGGCCTCTGTTTTATTATTTCTTTTTTACGATTGCTGCCTTTTTGTGTGTTCCTATTTCCCTTTTCCTGCCTTTTTCTGAGTTACTTCGATAGTTTTTAGTCTCATTCCTACTTATCCATTCTGTTTATATCTCCTTTGTAATTTTCCTTAAGGCTGCTCTAGAGAGCTATAATTTACATACTTACCTTTTCACAGCCTACTTAGAATCAATATTTTGTCTCTTAAATTGAATGGAGGATCCTTGCTTCCATATAAGTCCCTTTACCCTCCCATTTTATGTTGTAGTTGTCATATATTTTACCTGTAAATACATTGAAAATACTATCACACAATATTAAAATTTTTTATTACAGACATCAAACATATTTTATAAGAACTCCAGAGGAGAAGAGTCATCTACTACATTTACCATTTATCCTGTATTCCTGATATCTCAAGTATCCTCTGGTATCATTTCCTTTTTTTTTTTTCCCACTGTGTAGCATGTGGGATCTTACTTCCCTGACCAGGGATTGAACCCAGGCCCCCAGTAGCAGAAGCGCAGAGTCCTAAACACTGAACCACCATGGAATTCCCTGGTGTCATTTCCCTTGTCTGAAGAATTTCTTTTACCAATATGAAGAACAGATCAGCTAACAATGAGCTAACCTTTGTATTCCTTTATCTGAGAGTCTCTCTAATTCATTTTCATTCTTTAAAATGTTTTTCACTGGACATAGAATTTTCACTGATAGTTTTCTCTTTTCAGCTCTTTAAAAATGTGATTCCTCTTCCTTTTGGTTTCCGTGGTTCTGATGAGAAGTGCACAGTCATTTGAAATGTCTTTTTGCTATATGTAATATAGCATTTTTCTCTAGTTACTATTAAGATTTTTTCTATGTCTTTAGATTCCAACCATTTAATTATTGTATGTCTGGTCTTAGATTTCTTTGGTATTGTTCTGTTTATGCTTCAGTGAGCTTCTTGAATCTGTTGATTTATGTCTTTTGCCAGATTTGAGAAATTTCCAGCCATTATTTCTTTAAATACTTTTCTACGCTGTTTACTTTTGCCTCTGTAGAACTTCATGGATATCAGACCTTTTAATATTGCTCCATGGATTCATGAGGTCATGAATCTTTTTTTCTGCTTTTTATTCAGGATGGCTGATTTCTATTGATTCATCTTCAAGTGCACTAACTCTTACTTTCTTCATGTTGCATTGAACTTACCTAGCAAATTTTTTAACTTGTTTCATCTTTCAAGTTTAAAATTTTCTTTTTCTAACAATGTGGTAATTCACTAGTTTGCTATGTGTTCATCTGCTTTTTAGGTTGTGGGTCCACCAGGTACAGGAAAAACAGATGTGGCAGTTCAAATTATATCCAACATCTACCACAATTTCCCAGAGCAGAGGACTCTGATTGTTACTCATTCCAATCAGGTAAGAACAATGGAATGTGTGTGTACATGTGCGCTCATGTGTGCACATGCTTGTGTGAAGTGGATGTGCATGTACAGAACAGGAGATGCGTGGAAGCACAATGCAGGTTTCTGCTTATACGATAATCTGATTATGGGCACACAGAATATCAGGAAAGGCTGATGAGCATAGTGTTTGTTGTTGAGTTAATCTTGGAGTATCACTGGTCATGACCAGACCATTCTAATAGAGGCAGTCCGCATGCGGAAAAGCTGAGAGGAATATTTGGATACGTGGTAATTGACTTTTTCCCCCATCTTCCATTCGTAGCTAAAGCTTTTACTTTAAAAGCATTACCCCTTACTAGTCATATTTTTCTACTACTAGGATGGATATTCCTAAGAGACTAAACCTATATCATATTGACACTGGATTGAATTTTAAGTTCTTATGAAGTGTACATATGAATATGGGTGGACTGTCTTAGGTTGCTGGTCCAGTACATAAAACATTTATAAATAGCTGGGGCTTCCCGGTGGCTCAGATAGTAAAGAATCTGCCTGCAATGTGGGAGACCCAACTGCCACCCCCGGATCAGGAGGATCCCCTAGGGAAGGGAATGGCAACCCACTCCAGTATTCTTGCCTGGAGAATCCCATGGACAGACAAGCCTGGCAGGCTACTGTCCATGGGGTTGCAAAGAGTTGGACACAACTGAACAACTGACCCTTTATAAATAGCTAAAACAAGAAAAACAAACTCTTTTCTTGTAAATCATGGGTGAAAAATGATCTTTACATCTATATGTGTGCCAGGGTATTTATTCTAAAGCTGTCATAGAAATAAGGAAGAACAAGTAATATTTATTAATTCTCATGTAAAATGTGACAGGCAACTCTCAGAATCTTCTGAAACATGTTGTGAAACTTGCACTGTAGTCTGTGCCCAAGGTACTTGTTTTCTCTGAATACATATTAAAAATAGTGCTTTCAGTTCACTAGTTTTTTTTTTTAAAAAACTGGTCTATGAAGAAGCACTGGGTTTTTAAAATGTTCAGTGTTATTAATTCTGTTATTCATCAACTTTTAATCCCAGAATTTTAAAACTATTAACTGTCGATCCAGTTCATTCACTCTGTTTTCTTATCTTTAGTGTTTGTAAGTTACTGGTATGGTATACTAAAATTGTGCAGGGGAGAGTGTAATCAGGCTTTATCTTGATAAAAGAAGACTATGACTTTTTCTTTCTTCTGTTTAATGAAATCTAGTCTGTAATAATTTTACCTATTTTCAACTTCTTAGAATGAGTAAGATATTATTCGTGTGTTGTTTTAACATACTGGTTTTTTTTTTAAACAAATTTTGTCATAACTGGAAAATGACTTTCTGTAGTATCCTCTACTTATGACTGACTTGTGTAGCACTGTTTTAGAGATGATGTTATTTTGCTAAAATAGCCAAAGACATCCTTGATCCTTTGATAATCAAATCATCCTCTTTAATGCAAATTATTTATTTTTCAGAGTTTGTATACCCCATCTTGGTTTGAATATGTGATTCAAGCCATTCTCCAACATCGCTTTAATTTATGATGAAATCTTGCAGTTTTTTCTGAGATTGCCATGTGCGAGTATTTTTTGCCCTCTAAATCTATGTGGTTCATAAGTTTCGATAGAGAAGGTTTAAATAGTGACTAATGCCATGTGGTCTGATCTATTGTATCTCAAGTTTTAGATGGAGAATATTAAGAGTTTGGATAGTGTGGATTATTTTTTCGGATAATTTTGTTTATCTCATCAGTTTCTGAGCTCTAGTTGCTGGAATTTTGGTAGTAAAAGATAGCTGTATACTTTATAGCTTGGATGTTTACAAGACTGGATATTGACTTCATGGTCAGGGCTAGACTAGTGATAAATTCAGAGAAATATTTGAGTGGGGGCTAATCTTTAAATGTCATTTTTAGTAGTATTTCTTTACATGCAATGAAATGTTTGCCTTTCTGCAAAACCTTGTGACTACAGATGTTCAGATAATAAGTACGAGGATTTCAGGAAGCCCCAGAGATGAACATTTCATGAGTATGTCTTTCATCAGAACAGTTTGCAAATAGCGCTCTGCTCCCTACTGTGTCAAGAGCTAATTTAGACTCTCAGCCTAAGATTTGAGTGTTGTACTTTGGTTTCCTCTCTCTGGTCCTCTTGATGCCTTCTATCAACACACCTCCTGGGAGGCCTTCTCTAACCACAAAACCCTTCCAGTTTTCTGCAACTCATAGAAATTTTGTTGAGTAAAGTGAAATTTGATGTGATCGCTAATTATTTTAGTAATTATTACTACTTGAGGGAAATAGAAACTGAGCCAAAGCCTTCTCTTTTCACAAATTATCAGAGATGTAATAGATAGATGACTTTTTATGATTTCCAGTTATTATTTGACTATACATACATATATTGCATTATCACAAATCAATAAAAACACTATTTCATTTAAATTATAAATGGCGTAATATGTTTCCTTCTGTGTTTAGACTTTGATTCTTATCTGACTGGGCAATACTCATTCATTTCTACCCTTGTGATTGTTAGTTTTTGTTACTTTTAAAGGAGCCTACTGATTCTTTAAAACTCATTCATTCTTTTTTTTATTCTCCAGGCCCTGAACCAGTTGTTTGAGAAAATCATGGCTTTAGACATTGACGAGCGCCACCTCCTGCGTCTTGGTCATGGAGAAGAAGAGCTGGAGACCGAGAAAGATTTCAGCAGGTGAGCAAATGGGAATGTTTTGAAACTCATTTATGAAGAATTTTTAACCTTCTCCTCTTTTTCTTTAATAAAGAAAAAAGCAACAGGAAAGAGAGCAGTGAATAACCCAAATGAATTCTGAAGGGTTTTAGCGTAACCTACATAAGATGGAGGAGCCTGGTAGGCTGCAGTCCATGGGGTCGCTAGGACTTGGACATGACTGAGCGACTTCACTTTCACTTTTCACTTTCATGCATTGGAGAAGGAACTGGCAACCCACTCCAGTGTTCTTACCTGGAGAGTCCCAGGGACGGGGGAGCCTGGTGGGCTGCCGTCTATGGGGTCGCACAGAGTCGGACACGACTGAAGTGACTTAGCAGCAGCAACATAGGTATACTAGGTTGACCCCAAAGTCCAGTCATGATCTCCCTCTGCTCCAGTTCTACATGTTTATGTCATTTTCTCCCTCAAACATATGGTTATTTCAGTGAAAAGAGTTATCTTGTTCATCTTTTTTAAATTGCATATTTCCATTTGCTTTCTGTTAACTGAAGTCAACATTGCCAAACCCAAACTATACAACTTTACACAACTCCATTTTACATTTCATCTAGACATTTAATTTCATATAATCTGGGCATCTATTAGGTAGATTCACTTAACAAAATGCACCTGGAGATTAGTGATAGTATAAGCTTTGGGGTTGTAAGTATTATTTCAGGAATTTATTGCCAGTTTAGCTGGACTTTATGTTAATGTGACATAAAGTGACTAAATTTTACAAGTCAGATTTCTTCTGCTTTTAGTATTTTGATTTTTCCTTCAAAGTTGCTGTATAAAAAATAGCTCGTTTCATTTATAATTAAACTAGTTTTTAAAGCTTGATTTCTGACATAGACATAATTAATACAGCCTTTGGCTATTGAACATTACTTTTGTAATCATTACTAAATTGATTATAGACATCAGAAGAACTAAAAGAGTATTAAATTACCACATTGCATTTATTTTGAGTTCTTATATTAAAGAGCTCACCAAATATTTTTTAGCTTCTAAAAAGTCAAAGGGCAAGATCAACACACATTAAGTTACTTGGGGCTCTGGATTCTTAATTTTTGAACAGCTGGTAATGCTTCTGAATTCTTCCCATGGGTATTTCTTCTTGTTAAACCTAAGTTACACAAGTGGACTCAACTCTAAAAATCTGCTAATTCAGATTTTGGTGAATATATACAGGCTGATGAAGTGCTAAGTACTGTAACTATAAGTGTATTGCAGCATAATTTATAGTTTTTAGAGAATATTATAATAGAAAAGAAGTAGAGTTTTTAAAGTGATTTCTGGTGCTACCAATTTTCTTGAGGGAAAACTCTTTTTGCTTTCTGATGGGTAAGTCAAGCTCCAGGCCTTATTAGTAATGTGTGTGCTTCTTTGATTATGCAATTATTTCATTTTTCTCTTTGTCATAATTAAAAAGATGGGGGAATAACCAATTAATGGAGCAGAACATGTAGTCAGAACATGCTCATTCATCAGTTAAGTTTGCCGTCTTACATGGGCATGATTTGTGGCACCCCAAAGTGGTGACAATGATAATATCAGAGATCACAGAAAACAAATATGATAATAATGAAAATGTTTGAAATAGTTCAAGAATCTCCAAAATTTGATACAGACAGCAAATGCTGTTGGAAAAAAATGACAGTGATAGACTTGTTAAATGCAGTGTTGCCACAAACCTTCAATTTGTAAAAAATACAGTATCTGCAAAGTACAGTAAAGTGAAGCCCAATAAAATGAAGTATTCCTGTACATTGCTTTCCCTTTTTATAATTAATTTAGACTTTTTAATATAGTTTTAGATTGATAGAATACTTGAGCAAATATCATATAGGATTCCATTGTGTACTGCTGCTGCTTTTTTTTTTTTTTGGTGGTGAGAAATCATAGCAGGCACTTTGTTATGGTAGAAAGAAATTGCACAGGCTTTGGCATCCAGTTCTGGTTCCACTTTTTTTTTCTTAACTACCTATCTTTGGATCAGGTACTCTCCAAATTTCAGTTTCTTACACATTCAGCAAATATTTATGAACCTATTTGGTCCAGATGCCAAGCTGTGTTCAATGCCAAAGAATAAGCAAATAAATTTTGAAATTACATTTCAGAACTTTTAGAGCTAACCTACTTTTATGATAGTGGTATTTAGAGTAGCCAGTTTGTAAACTATATTCTGGTTTGTCATGAGATGAACTAGCACTTGAATCTACTATAGTGTTTTCTTCTTTGTGACGGTCTTTTTATGAAGAAAAAAGAAAAATAGCTGAACTAAAGGTGTTTAAATATAGTTAATTTTCCTTTCTCACAGACCACCAACACATTTGCACATCATCCTTGATCCATTGGTAGATTTTAAGTAGCTTTGGTATACAATAACTAAAGACCTACCACTTGAGTTATTTTATACCAATGCTACTTAGTAAATATAAATTATGTTTTCTACCTTTTATTTTCTTTGCTCATTTATTATTTCTGTTATGATTTTCTTAAATATTTTGCTGACAGTTTCTTTGAAAGTCTCATCATAATATAATTTTGCTTTTTTGCTTAATTGAAATTTTTAGGTATGGAAGAGTTAATTATGTCCTAGCTCGAAGAATAGAACTTTTAGAAGAAGTCAAACGATTGCAGAAGAGTCTCGGGGTTCCAGGAGATGCTTCATACACTTGTGAGACTGCGGGCTATTTCTTCTTGTATCAGGTATAAGAGATGAAAGATATGTAAATCATACTTTATTGGAATATACTCTTTATTTAGAAATGGGGATGAGTTCTGGAAATCCTTTCTTGAAAATTATTTTTTTGAGTAGATTAAAATATATGCTGTTGCCAGAGTTATATTTTTGGATGTTAAATGCTTTGTCTCCTATTGTCTTCAATTTTCTTTGCTAAATAACTTTACTTGATGACTCATTCAGTGAAAGGCCAGTGTTGCTACTTTTAAATTTTTTTCTTCTCCTTTTTTGTTATTGACAAAGTTTCTAGTCTCTCTTTTTTATTTTTTCATTTATTTTCATTACTATAGAAATATAACTAAATAGTGTAGCCACCAGTATAACAGATGCAGTTTTTTAACTTACTTTTAATAGGCATATTAATCAAGAAATAAAGAAAAGCATATTTTCTGTTTAAATTTCCCAAAATACATTTTGTTATAGAATTGATTTCAAAGTAAGGAGTTTAAGTTAAAAATTCTTTGACTTCAATTTAGAGGTATGTTTTTGCTTTTTTTAGAGTTAATTTTGCGGGTGTGAAAATTAATGAGAAATGAATAAAAATAAGATTTTAATACTTGGTTTACTAGTAATTTTAAATGGATTGAACATCATATAATGAAGATTTTTGTGTAACTATTTGTTCTCTTTGTACTAATACTACTTATATATTTTAGGTATAGATCACAGTGTTGAAATTTTTAAATGTATATGAAAAAAATTTATGCTCATTATAAACTGATAAGCCAGTTGAGTCCATTCAAAATGAGTGTATTTCATGGTTCCTTATGAAACATGGGACATATGCATGATTTTGCAAAGTTATCTTCGCTTTAGACTCTTAAGAACTTTGAATAATGGAGTAATGATCATGCTCAAGTGCATGTTTCTCACAAGATAAAAGTCACCAGGCTCTTAGTGAAAGCTACTTTTAATAGTAGCAGAAATAGCATATAAATTATTGAGGCCTAAGTAATAAATTTGAAAAATATGAACTGGAGGCCTCACAGTATACATCAACAATTTTCAACACATAATAATCACATTAGGAAAATTGTTGAAATGGAAAATTCTCAAGCTCTGTCCCCAGAGACTTTCTTTTAATATGACATGATATCCAGGGATCTACATTTTTATTTAGCTTCTCAGATATTCTGCCTAAGGACCACAGTTTGAGAAACACTGAAGTTATAACAGAAAAACTGAGAGAATTACAAAAATTAAGTAGGAACTGAGTAGGGTCATAATTAGCATTTACTCCAGCATATATTTAAACTATCTATATCCAAAAAGTCATAAAATGAGCTTTCAAATACATAGTCAGCTTAACCAGAAGTTTTTTATATGTATACTAAAGAGAATTCAAAAAATTTTGAAGGTCTCGGAGAAGGATTGACAAGTGCTAAATTGATTAAAAAGCTACTAGAGCTGGACTTAACCATATATGGAAAGAAACTGAGATAGTGAAAAAATAAGGAATTTCTTTGTTCAGAGAGGGCTTTTTGGATCATCAATCATAAACTGTTTTGAATATGCATGGGAAATCTGAAACATCTGAGATAAAAAGTCCCATGAGATAATTCTAGGGTTCTTTCCCATCTGTACATGTTTTATTTAAGGGTTTTTTACCCTACAGTCTTAAAGTTTACTTTTATAAAAGAAGAGCAGTTTGTCAGTGACTTGGGTAAGAAACAGTCTGGTTGGGTAAAAGATTGCTTTTCTTTTCCTTTTCCTACTGGACCACCAGAGAAGACCAAACTAGACGCATTTTTTATTTTATTATTTAAAATGTTGTTGTTTAGTTACTTAGTCATTTGGACACCAACTCTTTGCAACCCAGTGGACGGTAGCCTGCCAGGCTCCTCTGTCCATGGGATTTTCCAGGCAAGAATACTGGAGTGGGTTGTCATTTCCTTCTCCAAGGGATCCTCCCGACTTAGGGATCAGTCCAAGTCTCCTGCATTGGCAGGCAGATTCTCTCCCGCTGAACCACCAGGGAGGTTCATCTAAAACATAAGGGCTGGCCAGTTTAACCTCAAGTCTCTTTTTCTTACAGGTAATGTCTCGTTGGGAAGAGTATATCAGCAAAGTGAAAAATAAAAGTAACACGATGCCAGATATTACTGAAGTATCCACTTTCTTCCCGTTTCATGAGTACTTTGCAAATGCCCCACAACCCATTTTTAAAGGCCGATCTTATGAAGAAGACATGGAAATTGCTGAAGGATGCTTCAGGCATATTAAGAAAATCTTTACTCAGCTTGAGGTAAGGATTCTCAAGTTCTTAATTTCTTTTAAAGGTTTTAAGCTTAGCTGGTTTTTTTTTTAAGTAAGTAGAATACTCAAATCTAGCAAACAAGATTATTACCTTTAAGTGGAATTATTGGAAGCATGTATTGTTCTAGTTGAAGAAATAAGTAAAAATTATGATATGAATTGAATCGCCATTTTTTTTTCTGGTGTGAAAGTCTTAGTATTTAAGAAAGGAATGCTTTCTTTAGGAGATTTAACAATAGCTCCTTCATTTAGAATTTGGCCATTCCAAATTCTTTTTGCTTTTGACTTGTGGGCAAAAAGTGAGGTTGCTGTGTTATCCAAGATGTTCCTGATTATTATGGTGAAATAAGAGTCACGACTATACACAGGGGACAGAGAAGATTGTTTGGAACCCAGGGCCCCTAGTTTTTAGAAAACTAGGAAGTTTTCTCATTCCTTATTGGAAACATCCCTGGAAGACTACAGCAATAATGTAAAAGGACCACATTTCAGACTCACATTCCTCTCAGAAGGTTTAGGATTACTTCAGATTAAAAGGGCAAAGATCGTCTCTTTTTAAAAGTCTTTGTACCTTTTAGATATGATTTTATCCCTACTTCTACAACAATATCTGACAGATAGTAAGTATTCAGTAAACACTGACGCATGGTGTGAATAGGTAGTTAGAAATGGGTGAATGGTCGGTACAGAATAATAAATATATAATATATACACATATGTAGTATATATGTAATATGATAATGATAAATACAATTGTAAAACCTGCAAAACAGTGTTGTGGTATGCTTATGATTACATAAATAGAATATAAAAGGATAAAAGCATATAATTTATAATAATAGCTGTCCGGGGAGACAGTAGGAAGAAGGAAATACAGGGTACCTCCACCTGTGCCTGTGATGCTTTAATTATTTACAAATGAATAAACCAAAACAAATGTTTAAAAGTCTGACATAAGTATGACATAATGTTCAGACTTGATGAAACTTGATATTAGGCACTCTGCATGGCTCGTTTACTCCTTACATCCATCTACTGTTGATTCCCCTACTCTGCTCTGGGATCCTCTGCCATGGTCTGGGCTGGGACTGGTCCTTAGAGTCTTGATTTCCCAGCCTCTCATGTCAGCTGACTTCTGGCTGGGTTTAGCCAATGAGAAATATGGCAAAAATAGAGGAAAAAAGGAAGCCAGGATTTTTCACCACCAGCTCTCTGCCTAGGGCCTCATCCCTTACATGACTCCAGTTTCTGCTGACCTGGTCCACTGCGGTTCCAGTTTATATTGATACCTCAGTTTCTGGGCTTAGGTAACACTTCTTCCTCTTTATCCTTCCTAGCCCACGGATGGTCATAATACTCTGCTGTTGCCAATCTCTGGGTTATGTCACCATTCGTTGGTTGGCTTTTCTACTCCTCCATCACCTGCATAAATGGGTTCCTTGCAATAAATTCCTTTCATTATGAATGCTTGACATAGTGTCTATTTTCCTGGAGGTACAAGGGTGATCGATATGCAGTATTCTTGTTGACACAGTAAATATTTTACCTTATATTAAAAAACAGTCCAAATTGTAGCTTTAATATCAGTTATTATTTGAACTTAATTAGTAACTTATTAATCATGGACAGAATTGTTGTTCTATCCATTCAGTTCAGTCACTCAGTTGTGTCTGACTCTTTGTGACCCCATGGACTGCAGCATGCCAAGCTTCCCTGTCTTTCACCAACTCCCAGAGCTTGCTCAAACTCACGTTCATCGAGTTGGATAATAGGCTTAGTTTATGCTGCTGCTGCTAAGTTGTGTCTGACTCTGTAAGCCTAGGGACTGCAGCCCACTAGGCTCTTCTGTCCATGGGTTCTCCAGGCAAGAATACTGGAGTGGGTTGCCATATCCTCCTCCAGGGGATCTTCCCAACCCAGGGATCAAACATCTCACGTCTTACCTGCATTGGCAGGCAGGTTCTTTACCACTGACCCCACCGAGATATTTATATTAAACTTGCAGATAAAGTCTCATAAACTGGGTTATTGAATATATGCATGATTTTCCTAAAACAAGTATCTCATTGTTTCCCCACTCCCATAGGAATTCAGAGCCTCTGAACTGCTTCGAAGTGGACTAGACAGATCTAAATACCTTTTGGTGAAAGAAGCCAAAATCATTGCTATGACCTGTACTCATGCTGCCCTAAAACGACATGATTTAGTCAAATTAGGTTTCAAGGTAAAGACTTACATTTTAGCTCCTTAATTCATCTGTGCAGCTGTTAGTTCCTTTCTTTTCTCTTCTCTCATTAATACTAGGCCCTTTCCCTTGAATGTTTGCTTCTTACTGAGGTTTGCATTTATAATTACTTTAAAATGTCTCTAAAGTGATAATAACCTCCCATGTTTACGATTAGTAAACTCTAATAAATAATTTTTCTAAATGTAGTTATGAGATGTATTAATGTGTGTTTTAAGTAACATTATAGCCATATGACTGTCTAAATAGCTTCTAATACTTTTTAAGGTAAATTAATTTACTTTCACTGTGTTAAAAGAATCTCCAGACAGAACTGAAGACTTTATAAAAACATTTGACAGTGATTTTCACCTATTAGAAATTTGTATGCTTGCCTTATTTACCTTTTAAGCACACATCCACTGCAGTTATTTGTTCGTTCAGTAAATGAAAAGCAATTCTGTATGAGGATATGGAATATACTTATTTAGACTGTCAAATAAGATATTTAAATGACTCCATCTCAGGATAAGGACTGGAGAGCCAAAGGGTAAAGACAGCCTGTTACTTGTTACTCAGCTGAAATGTAATGTAATAATTGATCAGTAAATTTGAGTTTGCAGACACTTTGTGACTTTGCTAGTGGTACTGACTAATCTCTGATTTTAATGCAAATCATTTAACTTCCCTCCAACTGGTTTATCTGATGTTATTAGTGTTTCATGTACTGGTTTGAATTCAAAGTTAGCAAAACATTTGTTGTTGATGAAAATAGCTGACATTTTTTAAGTGTTATGATGTCACTGGAAGATAAGTGCTAAATAAATTCAAGGTGATAGAATTGTTGAGATCTTGGATTAAAGTTTGCTCAGCTATAAGGTAGGACAAATATGATAATGTATTAAAAGGTAGTGTGAACTTAACCTAGGGGTGTGAACTTATCTTTTGCAAATTAGTGAAAAGTTTTCACCTAAATATTTTGTTCTTGCTTTGGGCTGACACATAAAATATACTTTGGATTTGCTATTAAATCATATTAGTTTTAACAACACAGGGAAATGATACAATCTAAACTGAGCATTTTATGCTTTCTTACAGCTGTTCATGTGCATAATCTACAAAACATTACTCATAGCTTATCATATTTTCATTAATCATTTTCTTACATTGTGCTAGTAAGATAGTTACGTGAGTGCTCAGGGTATCCCTTCACATTACTCCCCACTCCCCAATTATCTAGTCTTTCAACTCTTTTCATATTTCCTGTGTCCTTTTCATTTATATCAATAAAAAATGCTAAATTTCTATTTTAGGCACTGTCTTTTGATTCTGTGCTGTCTCCAAGGAGACATGCAAGCACTTTTGTTTACTCTTTTCCTTCCTTAATACATCCAGTATAGTTGTGGCATAATTTTGCTTTGCGATTAAAATCTCCTTTTTAACAGGAGCTATAAATATATTTTTATAAGTTAAATCACATTAGATTTTCAGAGTTGTTTCTCAGGAAGGAGTCTCTTTAAGCTGTCATCTTTGAGCTTTTCCCATTCTGTTCTCCATATTGTGTCTAGCACCTTGAGACCCCACATGGGAACTTCTGAGAAAATATGGCTGTTTGAACCCCTCCTCCTAGGTTCCCACCAGGATGACCGAACTAATCATTGTAATAGGGAAATTTAGCATCAGATAGTTAGAGAAGATACCCATCCACATGCCTAAAACTTAAGGTAATTTCAGTAGAAAACAGTACAGAATTGAACCTTAAATTTCATCATGTCCAATAGAAACCCAGCTACCAGACTTGAACAAATACAAGCATATTTTGGTAAAAACGAGTAGCACAGAAACTGCTGCTGCTAAGTTACTTCAGTTGTGTCCGACTCTGCAACCCCATAGACGGCAGCCCACCAGGCTCCTCTGTCCCTGGGATTCCCCAGGCAAGAATACTTGGAGTGGGTTGCCATTTTCTTCTCCAGTGCAGAAACTAGAGGATACATAAACAGTTAGCTTAAAAGAAAAAAGTTAATTAAGCATTAAGAGTAAATATACTCCCCCTACCTTCCACTTCCTTGAAAAAAAATCAGGGGAGAAAACTTTGAAAAAAGAAAACGAACTCTTACTTTGTGCTTAGTAAGAGTCTCAAAGAAGGAATTTTACGAGGAATAGGATATCATACTATAAATAGCAATCAGAATTAGAAGAGGAAGGGAAAGATAAAACCTGATGAGAATAAATCTAGAAGAAATTGGGCAGATAGAAGATTCACAAAGAATGAAATTTCCTTCGGTTGGAGCAAGACTTGATTTTTCATTATTTTATAGATGTGCAACGCCTAACATTCCTGGAAACTAGGATTCAGGCACGGTGGTAAAGAAGATCATAAACTTTCTGTTGGAATAATTTGTATGTTATTTGTATCTGAATTATTTGAGAGATTTTGGGATGCTTATTACAGTCATGGTGGTCGCTGTTTGGATTTCAAACTGTTTCACAAGCTTTCTTTTTCTCCATTTCTCAGTATGACAACATTTTAATGGAGGAAGCTGCTCAGATTCTGGAGATAGAAACTTTTATACCCCTTCTTCTACAGGTAAGATACTGAAATTGAGGCAAAGTAGTGGTTTAAGAATTCTGGAGGGTGCAGTCAGAAAACTAGAGTTTCGGGGTGCTAATTGCTATGATTATGTATTCTCCTTAACTTCATTATGTTCAGTATTCTCTTTTAAGCATGTGAACTTCCTTTATTCCCTGGTTATTGAGTAGTTTGTATTATTTGGAAGTACTATTTAAAAATTCATAGTTTATCTCTTAGTTTTGAAAAGACAGTGGTTTTTCTCAGGAAAATTACATTTTTATGCAGTCTGGAGGACAGACGAGCTTTTTTTTCATTTCTTTTAGAGTTGTTTCTAGAATTATTTTTGATCCCTGGATACATTATTTTTCATTTTATGCCTGAAATTTTTTAATTCAATGATGATGTTTAAGAATGTTTTCTTATTGTATAATAGTCTTTACTATGGAAGCATTAAAAAAAAAAAATGTGAAATTCCGGATTGAAGAACAGAGGCTCCTCTAATTTATAGATAATTGGGTTTCAAAAGTTGTTTTATAAAGCCAAGTTATCTGGTATTTTTATTTTATCAAAATATGTTTCAAGAAATAAGGAGACATGTAGAGTAGGAAATTAAAAAGTATAATTTCTGCTGCCTGTAATTGTGATACAGTTTGACATCTTTCCATTTCCCTGCTTGGGCATCTGTTTCTTTCTGTGCACCCTTTGCCTGATTAGGACCTAAGCCTCCCAGACCTCTTTGGGTTACCCTGTGTAGGGTGAGTCCATGCCTGCCTTCTCAGTCCCTCCAGCCTTTCTCACACACTGTCAGCCGGTGGTACCCATACAAGTCATTCTATAAATTTGCCAGATTCTTCTCTGTGAAACTGGTGAATGGCAAGAATTAGTAACCTGTTAAAGCCATCATGTGAATAGCAAGACTCTTGTGCCATGAATTGGAGATTAACAGGGTAATACATAGAGTATGTTGCCATTTCCCCACTTTTTATTCCTAGAATCCTCAGGATGGTTTTAGCCGACTAAAACGTTGGATTATGATTGGTGATCATCACCAGTTACCTCCAGTCATTAAGAACATGGCCTTTCAGAAGTATTCAAACATGGAGCAGTCCCTCTTCACTCGCTTTGTCAGGGTTGGAGTTCCTACTGTGGACCTCGATGCCCAGGGGAGGGCCAGAGCAAGGTAAAGGAGACTGGGCAATGGGAGACGGGAGCAGGGGAGTGGATGTTAGGGATACTACTCCTGTTTAAGGACATCAGTTCCATGATCCAACATTTCGATAGAATCTTCTGTATAGACTCTTAAGCACTCTCTGCTATTTAGGAACTTGCCTGGACACACATCTACAAATTGGAAAATACCTTTATTGCTTTCAGCATGGGTTGTGAACTGAACAAATGAGTTCCTTCATTTTATTCATTGAGATTAATTTAAGTGACTTATAAACTAAGGGCCTCCTTTCACTGTTACCTCCTTTTTCTTCAGGCCCCCAAAAGATATATGATTAATATCATTTTGAAATCTAAATCTAGAGATGAACAAGAAAAGAACACACTAATTCTTATTCATAAAATATATAGGTTCCCTCTCATAGAGCTACTTGTAGTTTTTTTCACTGTACAGACTCTTCCTTGATTTTCTTATTTAAGGAATAAAGATAACATTTACCTTAGGGAACATGATAGAGTTATCATTTCTGTAATATCATCAGTCTCCTGATTTGCTTGATGGTAGGGAGACAAAGGTTGCAAAAGCATTATTGCTAAAACAATGAGCACAAAGTAGGTAATATGAACGTTAACAGGAAGAACCCAGTTCCTTAGAAACCCCCTTAGGTGTATTAAAGGGAATGTGCACTGCTAACTTTTCCTTTTCGGGGGTATTTGTCTTTGAAAGCTTGTGCAACCTCTACAACTGGCGATACAAGAATCTAGGAAACCTGCCCCATGTGCAGCTCTTGCCGGAGTTTAGTACGGCCAATGCTGGCTTGCTCTATGACTTCCAGCTCATTAATGTTGAAGATTTTCAGGGAGTTGGAGAATCTGAGCCTAATCCTTACTTTTATCAGGTAAGAAAAAACAAGAAACTTTTAAGTTCATTTTGTATTTTCCTGGCTTACTTACTATCTCAATTAGTATTACTGAACCATTTAGCCAGCCACTGAATAAAGGAAAGTTAGGTTTCCACCTCAGAGACAACACACACTTTTCTATTTCAAATGGATTAAAAGATATATATACCAAGGAAAAGAAACGGTAAACATACTAGAAAGAAGAAAATATTGATGAATATATAATATTGGGATTAGAAAGGTTTTTTAAGCTTACAAAATCCAAAATCATAAAGAAAAATATTGATTTGAGAACAGAGTTTATTTTCATCATTTAACAGGCAAGAATTAACAGCCAATAGAAAAATACAATAAGGACAAGAATATACAGTTCACAAAGATACATGTATAGCGAGTATAAATCACTGGAGCGTATTTTCACCTCTGTTGGGTTAGGTTTGGGAAATTCTATACTCATGCAATGCTAGTAGGAAAGTTACTTGGTGGACATATTGTTAGTACTTATTAAAAGCAGTATTCTCCTATGAATTTATCCTTTAAAAAACAGACAGACTTGCACAGACTTACATAGTAAAATGTTATCACATCTTTTACTGCAAATTATTTTTGAAAAGAAAAACAACCTAAATGTTATCAATAGGGATTAATTACACTTTTACCTATTCCATATAATACTGAATAGCTACTAAGAAGAATATTATAACTTGGTTTACTGACAGGGAGAATTATGCTATACTAGTGAAAAAATCAGATTTCAAAGTGTATCTATAGTATCCCACTTTGTTTTTTAAAAATAAGACATACATATAGAAATTCGGACAGATAATTACCACATATGCAAAATAGCATATAAAAATACATATGAAAATACATGTATCATTGTTAATTTAGGGTTAGTTAATTGCTCAGTTTTATGAGAGGTATTCACTTGTCCAAGACAGTAACTTGTCACTTCTTGAGGTATAATGAATGAGCAAATTGTACTAGTTAACTGTTTTCTGTACACGTGCTGCATACTTAAGTCACTTCAGTCGTGTCCAGCTCTTTATGATACTATGGACTGCCAGGCTTCTCTGTCCATGGGATTCTTTAGGCAAGAATACTGGCATGGGTTGCCCTGCCCCTCTCCAGGTGATCTTCCCAGCCCAGGGATCAAACACGCATCTCATATACCTCCTATATTGTCAAGCAGATTCCTTACCACTAGCCTGGAAAGCCCTGATTTTTCTCTATAAAGGGAAATAAATGCACAATCTGATTAATGTTTCCATTACAGAATCTTGGAGAGGCAGAATACGTAGTGGCACTTTTTATGTACATGTGCTTACTTGGTTACCCTGCTGACAAGATCAGCATTCTGACAACGTATAATGGACAAAAACATCTTATTCGTGACATCATCAACAGACGATGTGGAAGCAATCCATTGATTGGAAGACCCAATAAGGTAATTTTATAATATGTTCTCTTATTCATGTTGTTGGCAAGATAGAAAGATTTATATTTATTTTGAGTTATATTGTTCTACTTTGCTATCTCCTTTTAAAATATGTGAGAAAATGAAATAAAAAGTTATGCTGTGACACTTCTGACAGTGTTATTGATTTACTGTGAATGTCTGTCTCTCCTATCACAATGAAGATTTTTGTTGATAGTAGCCAGAAATAACTGCTTCTAAAACTTTTTGTTGGTAAATGATATCTAATTATATATTTCCTTTACAATAGAAATAGAAATTGTAGCATTTTTTATCTTGTTTTACAAAGGTATAATTCACATGCTTCTTAGTGTGTGTGTCTCTGTGTGCGTGTATACACACATAGGAAAGTGTTTTTCTTGGGGATAAAGGAAAATCAAGTATATTCAGACCCTAGGGGTTTTTTTTATTACTTTTTTTGTTTTTTATGTGATATGATAGTGATAAAATAAAATGAAGATAATTAAAATAAAAATGAAGATCCTTGATTTTATCAGTAAAAGTTTGAAAAATTAGAATAACAAAACATAAATATAGTATTAATAATGAAGAAATTAGGACTTTGGTTGTGAACATAGCTGTATAAAGCTCTTTCATCTTTCCTTGGAAATCATCCACAAGTAAGAGGAAAATGGGAGTGGGAGAAAACAAATTACACTTTTAGTGAGATGACATGTGATTAAGATCAGGAAGAAAATGTAGGGAGAAGAGAATTTAGGGGATCAGTCTTGAAAGTGACAGCAAAAACACACTTTCTGAAAGTGAGTGGCATACTTTGAAGTCTAAGAGCCACATTCCTACCCAACAGTGGATGTCGATATTGGGGTGAGCAGAAGCCTTTCAGGTCCCAGATTGGTTCAAAGGAAACTACAGGTGAACAATATCTGGGGGAAGAAAAGACTGTCTCTGTAGTAGCAGTGAAAGAGAGGACCATCTGTTGTGAAAATCATTGAGCCTTTAGAAACAGTTCTGCTCACCCCAGCCTATCTTCTTTGTTAATACATAGCTCATCTAAGAAACCCACTTAATCAGTGGTGAAATAGAGGGGGAAAGGAAGGTAGCACAAGCTTAATGTATAAATGAGGGAAAGAGCATCAGAACACACTAATTGATAAGGTAACGTACTCCAGAAAGCATATTGGCCTAGAACAGGTTAAAATTTTGAATGCATATTTGGGTATGAATTTTAAAATGCTTAATGAAGTAGCCACTTCTGTAAGGGAAGGCTACAAAACAAAGAAATTGAAGAACCCAGGAAGAGATAAAATGAAAACTAGCAGAAAGTAAAACAAAATTAAAGAGATGGAGACAAAAGGAATGGGGAGGAACAGACATTGTGGAACTTTCCATAAGGGATATAGAGAGTGAAAATGAGAAATGAATAACTTTGAAATATAAAAGGTTTAGAAATATAAGAATCTCTATCTCTGTCCTTTTTTACTTATAAATAACAACAACCAAAAAACTTCATAAAGAAAGGTACTGTCTTGTCTCAAGAAGATAAAAGGGACACTAGGTGTATAATTTACGAAGATGGCCCCTGGTTTCATGGGGCTGAGTGGTCTAGCAGAGGGAAGACTATTAATACCACAGATAGTTACTTCGTTATCCACAGAGTTAAAGATGAGTACTGTGAGTGTGAGTGACATAGGGACATAGCCTCATCTGGTCACCATGGTTTATTTCATAGGGTTCATTTACTTGTTCTTTCAGTTCCAACTATATAGTTATGTTCTTTTGGGATTGATTATTTTAAGGATAAGATTTTTATTTCTAGCATATCATTTTAATGATCTCTCAAGAGTTTTTGCTTTTGGAAATATACCACATTCCCCTTTTTTTCCTCCCAGGTGACAACTGTTGACAGATTTCAAGGTCAACAGAACGACTACATTCTTCTGTCTCTAGTACGAACCAGGGCAGTGGGCCATCTGAGGTATGCAAGGGAGCATTTTCTTAATAGTGTTGAATCTCACTCTCTGCTTCAATTTTGAGCTTTCATATCTAAGTAGTTTTCAGGTTTAAAGTACAGTTGATTGTTACAGCAACTTTTGGTGCTTTTTGTTGAAATGTAACAGTATCATACTCTGTGTAATCATTGCCATTGCTTCTGAATTTTTTTGCATCTTAAATATTTTAGTCATTTTAACTTTTTTTCTCTTCAGGAACATTCAGAGATAGCATTTGATGATAAAATGTTATACACACACAAATATTTGTATATATATATATATGTATCCTATATCTCTTTGAAATTTAACTTAAGAAATTAAAGGAGGTAGAGCGGTAAAAAGTCTCTTAAGTAAATTTTTCATTGCACGGGATTTCTGACTTTACCCGACACAGTCTTTTAGCTTAGTGTTAGAGAGGATAAAGGAACCATTTGTTCTCTTAGGATTAAGAATTGTCAAAACAAACAGTAACCTATTTTTATCATTTATTGTGATGTATTTATGTGCTAGAGATTTTGTGGGAATAATATCTCCTTATTACAAAGCAGCCATTTAGTTTTATATAAACCTTCATCTCATATGACTTACTAGCAAAACTGTAAGGAGAGTTCATTTTATTATTTTACTTAATGGACGTAAAAAGAAAATTCTGCATGCTCTCTTAATGTTGTCATTAAGTCAAGATCTATTTGGTATTTAACCCAGAGTGATCAGGTTCCACTAAGCCAATAACTTTTATGTAGGAGTAAACAAAGATGTAATGTTTCAAGAAGTAATTTCAAGACTATAGCATTCTAAAATACAGTTTATTTTTACTTAAGTGTCAAACGTGTTTTTGGAGACTAACTTTTCTAAAAAGCAGTTCCATTTCCACATTGAAATTTATAGCTGCTGCTAAATAGGGCATCATTATGATTTACCTAATTAGAATGTCTTACCCATGCTCACAGTGTGAAGACGAGAATGCTGCTTCCTCCTCTCCCCGCCTTTTCTCCTACTCTGTAGTACTTTGTCTTTGTCACATTCCCATGACTTTATTTCTGTGCCGTTCTTTACCTGACTTTTCTGAAAACTCAACTAAATAAAGAGAAAGATGATGATAATAAAATGCATATAAATGAGGACTTAAAAAAGAACCTGATTTCATTATCATCTCACATATCCAGCTTTTCTTTATCCAAATAAATTTATCTTCTTTTATATTTGCCAAACTTTTGCTTTGGAAGTTCACCTTCTTCAGTGGCTACTGATGACAGTGATGGTAGTTTTATTAAAGCACAGAGGGGGAGAAACTTAGTTTACCAAATACCTGTAATTCAACTATCCAGAGAGTTTAGGTATCTTAGTGAGAATTTTATCAAGCTCCTCATAGAATTTTTTGGTTTGTAGATGCAATCTTTCATGTCTTTGTTTTTCTAAGAAGCAGTGAAATATTTTGTCTTTCAAATTTCAAGATACCAAGGAAACCTTCCATCTTCCATATTTTTCTTTTTAGTAGCATCTTTATTGAGATACAATACACATGCTGTACAATTCAGTGTCTAAATAAACTGTATTTTTAAGTGTACAATTCAATGATTTTTTGTGTATAAATAAACTATTTTAAGTGTACAGTTCAATGATTTTTTAGTATATTCAGAGTTGTACAACTATATTCACAATTTTAGAACTCTAAAATAGCGAGAGACCCTATACCTGTCAGCGGTCACTCCCTTCCTCTCCCCCTCAAGTCCTTGGCAACCTCTGTTCCACTTTGTCTATAGATTTGCCTGTTCTGGACACTTCATATAAATGAAATTACTTAGCATAACGTGTTCAGGATTCCTCCATGCTGTAGCATGTGTCAGTACTTCATTCCTTTTAATTGCTAAATTGTTTGTGAATAATTTACTTTCTGTTTACCCATTCATCAGTTGATGGACACCAAGGTGGTTTCCACTTTGTGACTACTTGGACTGCTGTGATAATGCATGTACAAGTTATTGTGAGAAAGTATGTTTTCCTTTCTCTTGGTTGTAGACCTAGGAGTAGAATTGCAGGGTCTTATGGTAACTCTGTCTAGCCATTTAAGAGACTCCTAAGCAGTTTTCCCAAGTGCCTGCCATATTTCTTTTACCCACCCAGGATAGACTAGACAGGTGATTGTGTAGGAGCCAGGCTATTCAGCTTTGGTTCCAGAGACCTGTTTTAGGACACTGTGGAGCTGTTCAGAAGCTAGACTAGTGAGACATTTCTGGTCCTTTTTCCAACATTCATTGTTCTTGTCCCTACTGACTTGAATAGCCCAGCTGCAAATGAAATGCTTGTGACTCGTTCAGAGCAAGTCAGTGAAACTGCCCCCAGCTATCCTCTGGAAATCATGAAAGAAGGTGGTAGTTCCCATTGCCCAGTTTCAAGATACAGCTCCAAGGAACCCTATCTCTTCATGCTGCCACCCTGTACTTTTTTTGCCTGGTAGTTTGTTATGTTTGTGGTGTTTGATCATTCATTTAACAGATATTCTCAGATCCTTCTATTATTTGGCAGTAGGCTAGGTTCTTGATATATAGTGGTAAATCTAGCATTCATTATCTCTGCCCCCATGAAGCTTAAAATCCAGTGGGGGAGACATTAAATCTGTCTTTGGGAAATACCTACATTGGTTCTGCAGATTTTAGTCCGTACAGTGGAGATGAGCTTAGTAGAGCCACTTAAGTGCTCCGCAGTACTGGGGACTAGAGGGAAGAGTTCCTCAGAGGAACAGGTCTGTTGTCACTGCAGTAGCGCTGTGGCTGTGCTCCGCCTAGAGACAGAGCCTTCTGGATGAGAAGAGAAGAACTGAATAAAGTTTTAATACTTATCTGAGAGCTCATGCTGAGTATTTCTAGCGTTGTAGCTCTAGTTACTAGTTTTGGAACCATCCACCTGTGGCATGACCCCTCGGGCCTCTAAGGAAAGTGGAGGAAGTGAAAAATAATTTGATTTGCAGTAACCTAAAGAAAACATTTCCTTCAAGAATCCAATGTGTCACAAATGTAGAAGTTCATCAGAACTACTGTAAAAGGATATGCTTTCTCCTTCCACCTAAATGAACTTCTCTTAGTTTGGGTTGGTGGAGTATAGGGATTGTACACCCCCCAATATAACTGCTATTATATACTGATGTACAGTTCCTTCTGATAAGGGAAACTAGATCCTTATCAAGGCCATAAAACACAACAGAAAATGAGACTCACATTATATCTCACATTATACAGAGACAAAGAAAAACCATTTGACAAATATTTCACTTACCAATTCTCTGTCTGGTTATTATATGATCTTTGTAACATTTGGTCCCTATAACACTCTTTAACACTTTCTTTCAGGTATTAGGGATGCTTATACCAGATTTTATTATTATTCGTAATTATCTTCTCTTTTGTAGAATACTCACAAATTTAAATAGCCATCTAACAGCATCTTAGGAAAACAAACTGTCCTCCATATTGGAAACTAAAACTATATTTTCTTACAAAAAAAATTGTAACTAATGTGAAATAATGAAGTGAAATCAGGCTTACATAGCTACTCTTTTTTTTTTTTTCTTTTTGCAGTGGATCTTTGTTGGTTATCTGTTTAAATATAGCAGTCTGTACTTGTCAATCCTAAATGCCCAGTCTATCCCTCCCTACCACCCTTTTCCCAGGGAACCAACCATGAGTTCATAATCTAAGTCTGTTTCTGTTTTGTAAATTAGTTCATTTGATTCAGGTAAATTCAGTAAAGTTTTAAGAACATATTCTTTCTAAAAGATAAAGGAAACAGCCATCATTCATCAGATACCTGTCTACCTGTGTAGCTGAAGCATGCATTTTGGCATTTTTATCTCTATTTATGTTAACACTGAGACCTATTATAAACCAGGGATTGGGAGTAGGTACTAGAGTAAATGCATGAATAAGACATGGTATTATTGTATCATATCATCATATTGTATTTGTTTGTATTGTAATTATTATAAATAAGTATAAAGCAGTGTGATTAGAGTTATCTAGGAAGTAAAATTTGACCTATTAACCTTGACAGAGCATGGAAATTTGGTAAGTGAAGTAGAGGAAGGGCTGGTTTGGATTGACTTAATGGTGGTGACACAGTAAATTGGTAACTAACAAGTGAACTATTATTGCTACTTAAACCTTTTTTTAAAGGTTTTATTTTATATTGGAGTATAATCAATTAACAGCGTTATGATAGTTTCAGGTGGACAGCAGAGGAATTCAGCCATCCATATACATGTATCCATTCTTTCCCAAACTCCCCTCCCATCCAGGCTGCCATGTAACTTTGTACTTAAACCTTTTATATCAGTGCATTGGTTATTTTGTGATTCCCCCCTACTCTCTCCACTCAAAAACACTTAGAAGTTGGTAATAAAGCACTAACTTCTTACTGGGTTAACTAGTTACATAGCACTGATTAACTTAATGTTTATCCTGTTAAGTTTTTGAGAAACTTAACTCTTTATTGCTACAGCTTAGCAGTAATAATTAGTAGAATGTTAAAAAATAAAAGGCTGCATAAATATATTTTTAATCTTGATATATTTTAATTATTAATTTTGTTTGTTTTTCAAAGGGATGTCCGTCGCTTAGTGGTCGCCATGTCTCGAGCCAGACTTGGACTTTATATCTTCGCCAGAGTATCCCTCTTCCAAAACTGTTTTGAACTAACTCCAGCTTTCAGCCAGCTCACAGCCCGCCCACTTCATTTGCATATAATTCCAACAGAACCTTTCCCAACCAGTAGAAAGGTAAGACTTTCTTCATTGTGTGGGGCAGCATTTCTTACAGGTATTGCTTGAGAGCACCATATAGGTCATCTGATCTCTGGTTTAGAGTGCTCCTTATACTAAGGATCTGAATTAGATCTTCTATGTAAAAATAATACCACCAGCTATCATAATAAGGAAATCCTTATTGGACTCTAACTTTTATATCTTAATGTCCTCTTACTGTTCTTATGTCCTCCAAACCCTAACAGTGTTCATACATAAGTTGGAGACATGAACTTCTATTGAAGTGTTATCTTTCAGTGTTTTTCACCATATACTTAACTTTCTTTTCCTGTTTTTTAAAATTTATTTTACTGAAGTATAACTGATTAAAATGTTGTGTTAGTTTCTGGCATACAGCAGAGTGATTGAGTTATACACATATATACATTCTTCTTCATACTTTTTTCCATTATGGTTTATCATGGGATATTAAATATAGTTCCCTATGCTATACAGTATATTGTTTATACATTCAATATTTAATAGTTTGCATCTGCTAATCCCAAACTCCCAGTCCAAAGCTCCCTCACCCACTCCCTTGACAACCACAAGTGTGTTTTCTGTGTGTCTCTGTTTCTTTCATAGATAAGTTCATAGCATATGTGTTGTATTTTAGATTCCACATATAAGGGATTGTACTTAACTTTCTTTTGGCCTTCTTCTAGAATGGAGAGAGACCATCCCATGAAGTACAGATAATAAAGAATATGCCCCAGATGGCAAACTTTGTATATAATATGTATATGCATTTGATACAGACCACACATCATTATCATCAGGTGAGTTTTCTCAGAGTTGACTTATTGTTCTTGCTGTAGAATCTTCTCTGTTGGCAAATAAATCTTTAAAGTACTTGATTATTCCTTGTGAGACACCAGCTAAACCAAAGTAGATTACTATTCATATAATATCCATATTTTAAAAACATCTTTTATAGATATAATCTGGCATATAATTCCACATATCTAAAGTATACAGTATGATATGTTCTGGTATTTGTATGTACCCATGACTGTAATCAAGATAATAAACATATACATTATTCCCCCCCAGAGTTTTCCATGTACACCTGGATAATCCCTCTCATCCCTCACCAGTTCCTATTTCACCTTCTCCAGGAAACTGAGGATCTACTTTCTGTCACAATAATTGGTCACCATATTTTAGATATTTATGTAAATATACTTAAATGACATGTACCCTTTTCCCCTACCTGTTATTGCTCAGCATTATTTTAATATTCATTTGTACTTCGGAATGTATCAGTAGTCCTTTTCCTTTTATTGTTGAATAATCCATTATACAGATGTACTAAGTTTACCCTTTCATCATTGATGGACATTTGGGTTTGCCTCCAATATTGGCTCTTACAAATAAAACTACTGTGAACATTCTCCTACAAGTCTTTGTACCCTCTCTTTGGTAAATTTCTAGGAGTGGAATGGTTGGGTAGTATGGGAAGTATGTATTCAACTTTTTTAAGAAACTGCCCACCTGTCTTACAAAGTTGTCGTTGGTCAGTTGCTAAGTCGTACCCATCTCTGCAACACTGTAGACTGCAGCTTGCCAGGCTTCCCCGTCCTTCACTGTCTTCTGGAGTTTGCTCAAACTCATGTCTGTTGAGTCATTGATGCCATGCAGCCATCTCATCCTCTGTCACCTACTTCTCCTCATGCCCTCAGTCTTCCCCAGCATCAGGATCTTTTCCGATGAGTGGCTCTTCGCATCAGGTGGCCAAAGTATTGGAGCTTCGGCATCAGAACTTCCAGTGAACATTCAGGGTTGATTTCCTTTAAAATTGACTGGTTTGATCTCCTTGCTATCCACGGGACTCTCAAGAGTCTTCTGTAGCACCACAGTTCAATTCTTTGGCAATCAGCCTTCTTTATGGTCCAACTCTCACATCCGTACATGAGTACTGGAAAAACCATAGCTTTGACTGTAGTCTTACAAAATTGTACCATTTTATATAGGTTGTGCTCATTTATATAGACGGTGCTCACATATACTTATGCTTGGTCTTTTTTATTTTAGCATTCCAGTAGGTATGTAGTGGTCTCATTGTGGTTTTAATTGGCGTTTCTCTAATAACTCTTGATGAACATCTTTTCATGTGGTTATTTGCCTTCTGTATATCTTCTGTGAGGATGTGTCTGTCTAGATCTCTCACTCTTTGGGGTTATTATTAATGAATTTTGAGAGTTTTAAATTTTAATCTGACTACAAGTTCCTCATCAGATGTTTGTTTTTAGAAATATTTCCTAGTCTGTGACTTTTTTTTTTTTTTTTCATTTTTAGGTGTCTTTCAAGTCCCAGTGTATCAAGTTGTTTCTTTGTGATTCATGCTTTTTATGTCCTAAAAGCATTTAGCATTACCCAAAGTTATGGTTTTATTCCAATGTTTCATTCTAGAAGTTTTATAGGTTTTTTTTTTTAATAAGTATGATACATTGTGAGTTAATTTTTTTATTTGGTGCAAGGGTTGAATTTTACTCATTTGCATGTGAATATCCAATTGTTTCAACACCATTTCCTGAGGAGGCTGTTTTTTCCCTCTGTTGACCTGACTTTTTTTTTTTTTTTTTTGAGATTAAAAAAGCAATTTTTCAAATTGAGATCTAATTGATTCATAATTTTATATTAGTTTCAGGTATATAAAATAATGATTAAATATTTCTATATATTGCAAAACAATCACCACAATAAATCTAGTTAATATCCTTTCCACACAGAGTTACACGTTTTTTTTCCTAATGTTGAGAACTTTTAAGATCTTACCTTGTGGTCTTAGTTAAAAAAACCCATTGACTGTGTATGTGAGAGTCTTATTTTTGGGCTTTCTGTCTTGCTCTGTTGATCTTTGTATCTTTCCTTTTGCCATTACACTATCTTTCTTAGGGTTTCTTTATAGTAAATATTGAAATTAGATAATGTGAGTCCTGAAACTTCCCTTGGTGGTCTGGTGGTTAGGAAGGACCCCACGTTTTCACTGCCAGGGGCACAGGTTCAATCGCTGGTCAGGGAACTAAGATATTGCATGCCACACATTACAGCCAAAATGATAATAATGTGACTCCTTCAGCTTTGTTCTTTTTCAAAATGTTTTTGCCTATTCTAGTTCCTCTGCTTTTCTCTTTACATTTTAGAATCAGCCTATCTCTTTCAATCCCTAGAAAAAAGGATGCTGAGGTTTTAATTAGGATTTTTGAGTGTTATTGCTTAGGATCAATTTGGGAGAAATTAACATAACAATGTTGAGTCTTCCTGTCCATGAGTATGATATCCCTCTCCACTATATTTAGGTCTTCTTTGAATCCTCTCATCAGTGTTTGGCAGCTTTCAGCCTACAGCCTTCGTACATATGTTGTTAGTTTTATCGCTAAGTATTTCACATTTTGTGCTGCCATTGTGAGTACTGCTTTAATTTTTTTTCAGTTTCCAACAAGAGAAACAAAATTCCTAAAGAAAGAAGCCAAGCCTTAGCTCCAGAAAGGGCAGCCGGGTGTACAGGGCCGCTCCAGTGCTCTGGTTAAGTGGGGCAGAAGCCCTGTGCCTGCTGCTTGCCCCCTGCCTGTCTCAAGGCGTGGATCCTCCTCACCCTCACAGCGCTCCTTGATTGAAGTCGGCCCTTTCTTGAGCTGGTGTGCCAGTCAGTCCTAATCAGCCACTCTTTTCCAGTGTTTGTAATAAGTTCCTTCATGAAAAAATTTAATAGCTTTTGATATTTGTTTTTCTCCCCAGAGATTTAATATATAGTCTCATCTTCTTATCTGATATCTGTGTAAGCATATTCCATGGAATCGGCAAAACCTAGGCCATTATCATCAGAGTTGTTACCTCTGCAATATAAAACAGCCCTCAGTGTTTTGAAGCTTTCTAGAGTGACAGTATGTATTAGGAAGATAATGCGAGAGCCTAACTTTATAAGCCAGGTGGTTTCCTTTCTTTTTTTTTTTTTTTTTTTTTTGATTCATTAATGTTTTCCCTCTTTTTTTTTTCCTTCATCAGACTTTATTACAGCTACCACCTGCTATGGTAGAAGAAAGTGAGGAAGTTCAAAGTCAGGAAACAGAATTGGAAACAGAAGAAGAGGCCATGCCTGCTCAAGCTGACATTGTACCTGATAAAACAACAGATGCCAGCTCCAGTCAGGAAACCTCAGCCTCTGAGACTGAAACCACCCCCAATCAGACAGGAGCCAGCTCCAGCCCAGAGGCTACCCCTGCTGACTCTGAGATCACTGGGACAGGACCAGTAACTGTACCAGCAGAGAATAACACCACTCATGATGTCACATCCACCCCCGGAGAAACCGAGTAGCCAAGCTGTAGCCCTTCTTAGAGAGGACATTTCATTAACAAAGTCGTAGGTAAAGTTACTTCTTGTATTTTATATATGCTTCTGCCATTATAATGGCACTGGTTAATATTCATTCCTTATTTTTGTTAGCTGATTGTCAATGTTTGTCTTCTTGGATATATTAAAAAAGAATGTATGTGTGTGAACAACTCCAATTTTATTTGTTCAATCAGAAAAGTAAATAACCATTCCTTTGCTGTTTTGATCATTAACTATGTCTGTAATCATACCCACATTAAAAGAATTTTGTATGGAATAATAGTTCACATTTTTAGTGAACGTCTCTAAAAAAAAAGGATAAAAATATACTGGAATTAACCATAAATGACCTTAAGCAAGTGTCCAAATTGGGGAGGAAATCATTTCTTCTATCATAGTGTGAGATGCTCAGGTCATGTTTCTTTCTGTCCTTCATTTCTTTGCTGTCTTCCTTGATGGAAAGGCATTAACACCGTAGGATGTAGGTTACTCCAGTAACCTATAGGACATGCATTTCCTTCCCCCAGATCTCAGAATGTGTTAGAATCACCTAGAAAGTCTATTTATTCTTGAGGCTGCTCCAGATCTAATGAATCAGAGTCTCAGGGTTAGAGTCCAGGAGCCTGCATTTTTGTGTTTACAGGTGCTCCACCATTAACATTTGAATTGCTGACTGAATGGCATTGGACTAGTCTGGTGAGGCTGAGCCAGAATTCGTCATTCAGCTCAGCAAGAAGAACCTGGCAAATCCATCTGGACAGAAGCCAAGGTCCACGGCCCAGACAGTGAAAATCAGTGAACTTTATTAACTCCTGTATTCATGATGGATTTCTCCCAACACAGAGGTTCTGAGTTTTCTGTCTTGTTTAGTTCTCTTGATAGATAACCAGCTACAAGGAGACCTCAAGGTAAAATGTGCTTCAGATTTGGGAAAGCCACTGTACTAGGACCTTGCTACTCACGTGTGGTTTTTAAATCAGCAGCGTCAGTATTGTACTGAAATTTGTTAGAAATGCAAAAGTTTGGGCTGTAGCCCAGGTCTACCAAATCTCAGTCCACATTACCACGAAGTCCTTTGGTGATTCATCTGCACTTTGTAGTTTGAGAAACACTGTACTGAGATTACTGTGCTGTCCTCACATGAGCCAGAGGGAGAATGGTGATTCTGTGATGATAGAATTGACAGTGAGTGTGACTTATGTTTTCTGACAATGAACCTCTACTTACAAGGTCCCTGGGCATGGTGACCAGAGAAGAGATGAATATGTATGTGTGGGGAAGGTGAAATTGCCCACTGGTTCTCTTCCCCCACTTTCCACATCACTGGAGTGACCAAGGGACACATTTCCCCAAAGTTCTCCTCCAGTGCATCTACCTTGAGGCCGGACCATGTCCAACAAAGTTTAGAAAAATTAAGCAGGAATTGGCTCAGCACCAGTGAAATGCTTCTCTGGTCTTGACATTTCAAAGGAATGATGAATTCGTCAGGAAATTGAACCCCAAATCAAGTCCCTGATATTTTTGAGTAACTAGTGTTTACTTAACTTTACCAGTCTATGGTGGGTATAATTTAGACTCTCATCTTGACGCTTCCCGCAGCATCAACAATTGTGTAAAGATTGGATGGGGAAGGGAAAAATGAAAGTGATAGGATAACGAGGAGAGTGAAATGCCAAGGAAACTAAACTCAGAAACCCACCTCTGTTTGTTAGCAGAGCCAGGATGGCACCAAATGGTCTGTTATGTAATTTCTCTGGGTATAAGAATTTGAAAGCAGGTGTTGTGGGCCTCACCTAGTATGAGGACTGCTCTCAGAATTATTTTCATTTGTGAATATATAGTATCAGGCTAAGCAAGAGGGAAAGCAGCTTTACCGTATTACTGTCTCTCCTAGAAAAGATTGATTTTTCCCTCTAGTCTTTAGAGGATATGAATCGTGGTACCTGAAACCAAAATAAGCAAACTATTGTGCTGTCTTTCCTTAAATAAACCATTTCCCTAAGACTGTATATCACTCTGTCTAACTCGGTGACTGAACTTTTTTATCTGCCACCTGATTTTTATCATTAAAAAGAAAATTTTAACTGGAAGGTAAATAATTTCTTTGCCTTTGTCAAATTAAGAATGGGATGATGAAAGTGGGACTTGAATTATTTTAAATTGTTTATTCACTAGAAAGTCCAGTGAATTGCAGTTGACTATAAAATTGTAGAATTTTTAAAGGAACTTAAGAGAGCTTTTCTTATTTTAAATAATGAGTAAACTGAATCAAAGGTTCTTAACCAGGGTCACAACCATAGGAGACTGGGTAGAATCCAGTTTATAGACTAGGGCAGTTTTTTGCTTTTTTTTTTTTTAAGTCAACCACACATGAGTACTTGCTTCATAAATTTAAAAATTTTCTATTTAACTTGGAGTTACTACAGACACAGGTATTCTCACCAGGTGACCATTTCAGATTAATGTTCCCATCGCTCTTCATCCTGTGTTTCATATCTGAATATGTCATAATTCTGGAGTTTATTTTTAAAAGCAAACCAAAAAGAAACATGCCAAGAGAAACAGCATGAAATGAAGCAATTCAAGTATTTAGACTTTTTTCCACAAAATGCTGAGTTAAGAAAGTTCATTACCAGCAGTTGAAAATAAATACCAGCAGTTGAAAATAAATAGCTGTATTGATTTGGGCAAGTGAGTGGAAAGATCTAAATATTATCAGTTCCCTTGAAGTTAGTGTGAGGATAAAAGATATTTTGCTAGATACTGAGAGAAATAGTACAAATGGACCATTTGTGCTCCTATAAAAAAGGAAGTTTTTTATGATCAGGAGACAGCATGATATTGTAAAACAGACTTTGGATTCATCCAGTGCCGACTTAAATTTTACTTCGTTTGCTCATCAGCATTTGGTTTGACCTTGACGAGTATTATAACCTAAGTCCCAGTTTTGTTATCTACAAAATGGGGGAAAGATCTATTTGTTTGTTTGTTTGTTAATAGGGTAATTCTTACGAAAATATCTGCTGCTCAGTAAATAGCAGTACTCATCCCAACCCCGCCCTCCATTTCCCTCCAAATCTTTGAGACAGGATATTACCAAATAATTCTTTGACTTGAGCACTTAGCTATGCCCCTATCCAGGGAGCAGGGAGGATGATGAAGAAGGCCAAACATGGTGGCAGTTGACATTTGAGATCAAGGATCAAATTTACTGATTCAGAACCTCGAAATCAGCCCATAACAACACTGAAGAAGGTCTCTGCTGAAATTAAAATATCTGGCAGATGAAGACACTGGGTATCATTCTGCATAGGATGTACTGATAACATCAGTTCTGTATCCTGTATCCCCCACCCCAAGATCATCTATATTATTGCCCTTATCTAGCATGAATATGCTTTTTCCTTTCCATCTTGCAGTCACTCATATGGTGTTTTAGAGATATTTCTTCAATTAAAATAAGATTAAACAGATTGAAAGAAAAACTGACCCTTTTGCACACGCTAGAAGAGCTGTTAAAAACAGTGCTTTGCATTCTGTGAAAAATGCTGGGCAGTTAGCCTTTGTAATTATGAACCAGTCATGTGAATAGACGTTTAAGAATGATAACAACTGGAGCTGTGCTGAGCCAGTGATGGAAATGAGCATGAGAGACTGTTTTTTCTTTTTCCATTGCTACTCTTCAGTTCCCAAGAAAGGGTTCTAATTCAGTAGTATCCAAAAGCTTTGGACATTCTTGTCTTCCTTCATAGAGACAAACCCCAGCTCAGTCCTCTGGAACTTAGAATGCAGCACAGTTACTGCACAGACTGACAGCTTTATTGCTGGTTCTACCTTTTGGTTTCCATTTAACTTTACTGCCTGCTTAAACTTTTGCACTTACATATAAAGATAGCTAATCCCAGTATTTCTCAACATATGTTACAAAAACCATTCATCTGAGAGAATACTTGGAAAAAAACATGTTCCATGGTCAAATAAGTTTGAAGAACATAATTAATTATTATTCCCCATTTGTAGAAATGTAAAACTTGGATTGTTAGTTAACGAAAGGTTATTTCCTGCTGGAAAAAATCAAGTTAACTTTATTTAATCTAGCATTTCTCAAACTTATTTGACATTGGAACGCTTTCTTCTTCAAAGTAAGGCATTATGGGGAACTGGTTCTGAGGTTTGATATTTTTACATTAGCAAATGAACTTTGATTCCCCCTTAGAAAATTAGGGGGATAAGAATATACAAGCCCCAAATATGCTGCTTTGGCAAAAGGAATATTTTGAGCAGAAGGCACTTTGGAAGATGCAGATACAGGAAGTTTTCTCAGTCCTTTTGCTTCTGCCCGAAAGCAGGGCATGAATTTCCCTTTGTAAAGATGTCCCCTCTCTCCTGAACTAGGAAGAAAACACCACTTATTACTATACACAGAGATGAAGCTGAAATGAGTCTGCATAAACCTTACTAAAATAACTCACCCTTATCTTCCATTAATTTCCCCATATATTTACTTTCCCACAATTTAACACCCCTAAAAACCCGAACTCCTTTTTTTGCCTTATTTACTTTTCCATAACTTATTATCTTTTGTTAAAATGGTATATAGGCTTAGAAGCCTAATAGTCTAGGGGGAATTTTTACTTCTTTTCTGTGCAACTCCATGGAAGTAAAGTTAAAAACATCAATTAAATTTATATGCCATTTCTCCTATCAATTTCTTTTATTAGCTTAATTCATAGGCCCCAGCTACAGACCTAAGGCGGCAGAGGAAAAGTTTTCTCTCCCCTACAAAAATAAGACTTTAGTACATTGTTTTTCCACAAGTAACCAGAGGCTCAAGTAACAGCAGAAGAATCTAGAGATGAAGTGATTTGTACAAAATGTCATAGTGTAATTCGTTGAGTGTCATGTGGTATTAATAGCAACATCCTGAAAATGCAAATGAGTAAAAGTTTGATCAGTGTACCATGACATTTGTTCATGTGAGCCTTCGAAGAAAAGGTCACTAAACATTTTCTGTTTACATTTTAATTTTAGGCTCCAGGATTTCACACCAACTTTTTCTCAATTTTTTACTCCACAGTAAAAGAAGAGTCTGTATTTCCAATGTCTGTTGTTTTCTCAGTTCTCTAAATGTTTGTTTTCTTTAAAAGTTTGTTTCAAAAAGGGAGAAGATTTAACATGGGCAATGGGGGTGGACCAGAAACAATAGAAGAAAATTTAGACAAATATAAAACATGAAAAAAATTTCCTTTCAGAAAAATGTAAGAGAGAAGACCCCAAAACTTACCTTGCATCAGACATGTTGAATTCTCTCTTAGTTGATCTCCAGAGATGACTGCCCACTTCTCTCTTTCTCTCCGTCTTTGACTTACATGGTACATTCACCTGAGACCTCTTCTTACAGTAAATCTAAGGGCAAGAACTTCAATGGTAGCTGTTTCTCCTTGGGAGATGCCTGGTTTAATGTGAATAGCTATTTTGAGAAACTGATTTTATCGACCCTTTTTTAAAAAAAGTCAAGAGTTCTTGACAGAAGGTGGTCATATAAAATACTATCTCTTTCTTCTCCAGTCACTCATTCATTCTGAGGGGAGTTTTCTTCTGGTGCTCAGTTCAGTTGTTCACAGTAACTGTGGTTCTGTGTTACGGTATTTTCATGACCCCTCTGCTTCCAGTAGCACTTTCCATTGCTGGGTTTCCTCTAATCCCAGACTTCCCCAAGAATAATAGTGGAGCAAGAATAGACGGAGTTAATTTACATTTTATTTTGCTGGTTGACAGCTTTTCACAGAAGTGAATTAAGTTATACATAATAAACTGTTGGAAGATATCTTTGAAACTGTCTCATTCTTGCGTATTCCTAGACTGAGTCTCTACTGTGTGACCGGCAACAATGCCATAGCTCATAGATGAGGAACACCGAGACATTGGCTGGTTTGCCTCGCACACGACGGTTCGTTTAACTGAGACAAGAACCACCATCTGATATGCAGGCAGATCCCTTACCTCACAGATGAGTAAGGCAAACCTGCCAAAGAGTTCCTCTCGGGAATTCCCTGGCGGTCCGGGGGTTAGGACTCCACATTTTCACTGCCAAGGACCCGGAGTCCAATGCCGGGTCAGGGAGCTGAGATCCCATAAGCTGTGCAGTGTGGCCAGAAAAGAAAAGAATTCCTCCCAGGCTTAGAATACCAAAGAGAAGACTAGGTTGCCAGAATCAGGATAGAAAATAAGAGGTCTATAAAAAAAGATACCCTTTGATGTTTACAGTGTTTATACTTAAGGGTGAAAGCCAAATTAATATTTGTTTTGGATTGAAAAAAGTAAGAGAAACATATAATGTGTAGGGACTATAGTAAGTAATGTTTAATTGTCAAAATGCTAGTTAATTATCCTAAAGCTATTTTTTATTTTTAAGCAAAGCCAAAAGAGGTTAAATAGCAATTTTGAAAGAATGTAACAAATGATAAGGGAAAAGTTAGAATGTACCAAGACCTGCACTTTCAGTTACTATTATAGGCATACCTCAGAGATACTGTGTGTGTGTTACAAACCACTACAGTATATTAAATATTACAATAAAATGAGTCACACAATATTTCAGTTCCCTAGTACATATAAAAGTTGTTTACACTAAAGTGTAGTCTATTAAGTATGCTAAATAGCATTATGCCTAAAAAGATGTACACACCTTCGTTTAATACTACAAAAAAAAAATCTCTAACCATCATCTTAACATCTAGCGAGTCATAATCTTTTTGCAGTAATAACATGCAGGATCACAGATTACCATAATAAATATAACAATAATGAAAACAGTATGAAATATTATAACAATTACTAAAATGTAGCACAGAGACACAAAGTGAGCAAATGCTGTTGGAAAAGTGACACTAATGGATGCCAGGTTGCCACAAACCTTCAATTTGTTAAAAAGTAGGATCCATAAAAATGTTGTATCCTCGGTGCACTGTTCTATGGCCTTTGTCACAAATCAAATAATTGTGTATATGTGTGGGTCTGTTTCTGAAAGTTTCTTTGGTTTATTTTTCTTTTCTTGTGCCAGCATTTCACTGGTTTAATTACTGCAGCTCTATGTTAAATCTTGACGTCTGGTTGGGTATTCTCCCTTAGCTATATTCTTCAAGATACTGGCCACTCTTTAGTAATCTATTTTATAGATAATATATATATTTATGTCGATTCCAATCTCCCAATTGAAAATCCATAAAGAGGGGATTACATATATATACATATATATATGTGTGTATATATATATATGGCTGGTTCACTCAGCTGTACAACAGAAAGTAACCCAACATTGTAAAGCAATAATACGCCAATAAAAAATTTTTTTTCAGATATTGACTACTCCTAATCTCTGTATACACTTGAGAATCATTTTGTCAATTCTAAAAAAAAAAACAAAACTTGCTTGAATTTTTTTGGGGATTGCATTGATTCCATAGACCAATTTGGAGGAAAGCTGACATCTTTATCATCTAGGAATGTGTCATCTCTTTCCATTTACGTAAGCCTTCTTTAATCTCACTAATGTTTTGTAAGTTTTCTAGATTAAGGTTTTGGCCATCTATTGAATTTATACTATAAATGGTACTTTAAAACCTACATTTTATCATTATGTTTTGTCATTGTTTGTTACTGGTATATAGAAATACAGTTTATTTCTTGTATGTTGACCTGATATGTAACAATCTTGCTGGATTCACTTATTTCTTATAGTTTGACTGTAGATTATTTTGAATTATCTACATATATAATTAGGTCACCTATATAAATAATGGTAGTTTTATTTCTTCTTCAATCATTGTACTTCTTATTTCCCTTTTAATCTCTGTGCCTTATTGACCTATTGAAGACTTCCAGTATAGTGTTGAATGGAGGCAATCAAAGTGAGTATCTGTGTCACCTCCCAGTCTTAAAAACAAAGCTTTCAGTATTTAACCATTAAGTATAGTGTTTGCCATAGTTCTTTGTAACACTCAGATTTTAATAGTTTCCTTCTATGCCTAGTTGGCCAAGTGTTTTTCTTCTTAACATGAACAGATGTTGAAATCTCACAAATACTTTTTCTGTATCCATCAACATGATTATATGCTTTTTCTCCTTTATTGGATTAATGTGGTGAATTGCACTCGTTTATTTTTCTATTGATTTTTTTTTTCTTCAGGTCATGGGCCAAAATTACTATTCTTCAGGTGCTTGATAACTTTAGTTGAATACTAGAAATTACAAATGCTGTGTTTTTTAATGTTTAGATTTTGTTGTCTTTCTGTAAAGACTGTTGAAGTCTGTTTTAGCAGGCAGTTAATTGTGGGTATTAGGTTGATTTTTGTTTTGTTTGGTTTTGGTTTTGGGGGTGGGGCACAATACATGGCCTGCAGGATCTTAGTTACCTGACTAAGGATCGAACCCTCACCCCCAGCAGTGGAAGTGTGGCGTCTTAACCACTGGTCCATCAGGGAGGTCCCTAGGTTGATCTTTTTTGTTTTTGTTTTTAAACTTTTGTTACGCAAGTGTAATAGAGCTTCCCTGCTGGCAGAGATGGTAAAGAATCTGCCTGCAATGCAGAAGACTCAGGTATGATCCCTGGGTTGGGAAGATTCCCTGGAGGAGAGCATGGCAACCCACTCCAGTATTCTTGCCTGGAGAATTCCAAGGACAGAGGAGACTGGCTGGTACAGTCCATTGGGTCACATAGAGTCGGACACAACAGCAACACAGCAGAACTCACAGGTATAGAGTACTTTACTTTTAGCTCTGTCACTAAATTGTAACCTTTCTGTGGTCATTGCCCCATGTGTTCAACTGAAGTGTCTGTACTCGAGCTGGTAGAAATTTAAACCTTGATTTTCGTGTGAGCTCTGGGAAATATTTAGCTTATAGTGCCCAGATTCTTTGATTGACTTCATGGAGTTTCACCCTGTATATGTACAGATGAGTATTCAGCCAAAGACCCGAGGGGATCCCTGTTCAAACTTCTGGACTTCTTTCTATGCATAATTCTCTCCTTTCATAGACTCTGCCCCCAAAGTCCACCCAGCTCAGCCTCCTCAGGTTTTAGTTCCTAAAGTCAGTGAGACTACTGGGCTTCCACTCAGGTTCTTCTTCCATGTGCTACTGTTTGGGAAGTTGTCTTTTGGCAAATAGCCAAGGCAATCACAGGGCTCACTTTATTTTATTTCCTTCGGGGATCACAGATCTTTGCTGCCTATTGTTCAATGTCTGAAAATAGTTACTTTGTATATTTTGTCCAGTTTCCTAGTTGATTATAGTGAGATGATGAGTTATGAGCAAAAGCAGAGGTTCTTACATTGATTGGTTTTTCAAATATTAAAGCGACCTCATACTCCTATACTTTGGCCTCCTAATGCAAAGAACTGACTCAATGGAAAAGACCCTGATGCTAGGAAAGATTGAAGGCAAGAGCAGAAGGGGACAGCAGAGGAACAGAGGATGAGATGGTTGGATGGCATCACTGACTCGATGGACATGAGTCTGAGCAAGCTCCAGGAGACAGTGAAGGACAGGGAAGCCCAGCATGCTGCAGTCCATGGGGTTACAAAGAGTCAGACATGACTGAGCGACTGAAGTGAACATATTCCTAATATTTAAAAAATAATTCTATATCAAGTTTACTAATGCTTTTATTAGGACTCTTGCATCTGTGTTTATGCGAGGTGGTTCTATAATTATGGTGGCGATGATATTAGTTTATCAGCTTGAGTATCAAGATTATTGTGACCTCATAAATTTAGTTGAATTTATGAATTTATGAATTTATGAATTTCTGTTTCTTTTACCGGAAGTGATTTTGTAAAAGTGGTGTCAGTTTTGTTTTTTTTTTAGCATTTGGAACATTTTAGCAGTGATGTCATCTAAGCCTGGAGATTTCTTTGTGAGAAGGTTTTAAATTTCAGATTAATTTATTTAATGGTATAGGAATATTCTGCTTCTTGTTGCGTGTTTGTTTTGGTTAGTTGTTTTTCTGTAGGGATTTGTCCATTGAAGCTGAATTCTCAAATTTATATGGGCAAAAGTAATGTATAACATCAATCTTTTAGCACAGCTCTAGCTGTATTACACACATCCCATGTTTCCATTAACATCCATTTCAAGATGTTTTCTAATTTCCATTGGGACTTCTTTAAACACATTTTTTCATATTCTTTGAAAATGTTTTGGAACCTAATAGATAACGGTAGTTACACAACACTAAATGCACTAAATACTACTTAATTGTTCCCCTTAAAATGGTTAACTTTATGTTACATGAATTTCACCTCAGTTTTTAAAAAAACACCTTTTAAGAAGTGAGTCTCTTAATTTCTAAGCATGTGGGCATCTTTCTTATCTTTCTGTTATTTCTAGCTTTGTTCCACCATGGTCAGAGAACATACGTTGTATGATAATAATCCCTTGAAATTGTCAGGACTTTTATGGTACATATTTCATGTGTCCTTGAAAAGATTGTGTATTTTGTAGTAGTTAGGTACCATTAGGTCAAGTTTGTTAATTATTTTGTTCACATCCTTATTCTCACTTTTTTTTTGTCTGCTTGTTTTATCAGCTACTGAGAGGTGTGTTTAAAAAAAAAATCTGAGTGTGTTATAGACTTGTTTATTTCCTCTTTGAATTCTCAAGTTTTGCTTTGTGTATTTTAAGACCATGTTATTAAAGGCATACAAACAGAATTATTATGCCTTCTTGATGGATAGATTTTTAATTCTTTAGAAATGTCTCTCTTTAAATATACTTCTTGCCTTAAAGACTACCTTGTCTAACATTTATTATAGCTATACCAGCTTTCATGTTTTTGCTCTTTACATGGAATTTTTTTTCCCATTCTCTTACTCAAACTTTCTAGGTCCTTTATATTTAGGGTTTCCTGTTTTAGGTTTTCCTGGGTTTAGGATTTGATTGTACATGTTTTTAAATAATTAGTTGAAGATGCAAAAGTTCTGGGTGAGAAGCAAAAGACTACATCACTTGCAGAATATCAAGCAACATGGACATGTTTGTTTGCATCAGATCCTCTTGCTCTCCAAGTCCCACAGCGGTGACCTGGTGGAGGCCCTGAAGGGTGCCTGCGTAGTCACAGGTTATGTTATAGGAGAGGAACAGTGGGGAACCCCTACTTTCACAGTAAGCAGCAAGCAAACCTGTTCGTAGCCCCAGAGGGAGACATGTCCTCATCCCTCAAGGTGTTTTTGCTGCACACTCAACCCTCTTGGGAAATGGCCTGAGGGAAGCGCAGCCTGGCATTCTTGACACACCCCCTGAGAGCGGGCTGGGATCCTCTGTGAGCTTATTTATTTCTCCTTGGGTTCTGTCAGCTGTTCCTTGGTGTATTGTCCCCTTCATGGATCACAGCCTTGTCAGGGCAGAGCGGCTTGCGTGACTCAAATGAAGCTTTGCCATTCAGGGCCACCCAAGATGGATGGGTCAGAGTGAAGAGTTCTGACAAAATGTGGTCCACTGGAGGAGGAAGTGACAGCCCACTCCAGTAGTATAGCCGTAAGAACCCAGTGAACAGCTTGAAAAGGCAAAAAGGTACGCTTGCCCCGTGGAAGGAAAGCTGTGGAGGACGAAGGAGCCTGGGGAGCTGCAGTCGGTACGGTCACAGAGTCAGACACTACTTAATGACTGAACAGCATCGGTCAAAAATCTTACACCTTCTTGATCAACCCTGTGTTATCATGAGAAAATGCCCCTCTTTAACTCTAGTAATGCTTCTTGCCCTTAAGTCTACCTTCTCATGTTAAGTTAATAACACCAGTTTACCTCAGGTTAGATTTCCCACTCCATATCTTTTTAAAAAACCATCCTCCTTCTCAATCTGTCTGTGTCTTTAATTTTTTCTTTTGTAAGCAACTATATAATTATTTAATTTTATATAATTGATGATATATTGGGCTTTATTTTAACCGTTTTACTCTGCTGTGTTTTTAGTTCACTTTTCATCTTTCTTGCCTTCCTTTGGGTATATAAAGGATTTTTTATTATTTAATTTTTCCCATGCTATTAATTTGTTAAGAATACATTCTCTTATGGCCTGACACTGCGTGTGAAACATCCCACAGGCCTTGGATGATGCTTTTGCCTGCAGGGAGGGTTCCCCCTCTCCTCTCACAGGCAGCCCGGAGGCAGATCACCTCCATCCAGAAGGGCCACACCTCTCCCAGACTGGAGTGCCATCTTTGGAAAGGTCAGCTCTGACTCACTCTCATTCCTAGGATATAGCCATGTAGAGGTTCCAGCTGAGAGTCTGAGATTTTCTGGA